GCTGCTGGGGACTCAGACAGGTCTTCAGGAACCAGAGTGTGGAAAGGAGGAGCCAAATTTGGGGATAGACTTTTCAGCAGGACATCCCAGGGTCAGCCTCATGGAATCAAGCTAGGCAGGTCCTGAGGTTTTGAGAACCCAGGAAAGACTCCTGGGAGCCACAGGAGCCATGGAGATGTGTGATGGGTGAGGACAGAGAGGGAGTCAGATCCAGGTGGAAGATGAGGGTAGGAACAGTATACGGATCTAAGACAGGTCAAATGATAAAAGATCCACCACAGGAGCCAGAGCGGTGGCTTAGTGGTGAAGACTGCTTGCTTTTCTCCCTGAAGACCCTAATTTGGCTTGCAGCTGTCACTCAGGGTGGCTTAGAACCATCCATAACTTCGGCTCCAGGGGCTCCAACACCCTCTTCTGGCTCCTGCAGGCATCTTCATATACACGTGCACGCCGCCACACACATAATTAAAAATCTACAAAAAGTTATACCTTCATCTTGTCATTTTTCCTTGAGAGTAAATTTGCATATCTTAAAAGTAATTACTTGGTTGTTTTTGTTTTTTTAGAGACAGTGTTTTTTCTCTGTGTAGCTCTGACTGTCCTGGAATTCTCTCTGCAGACCAGGCTGGCCTTAAACTCACAGAGATCTGCCTGCCTCTGCCTCTTGAGTGCTGGGATTAGAGGCGTGCGCCGCCGCCGCCGCCGCCGCCACCACCTGGCGAGATTTCATTATCTTAAAATGCTAAATACAACCATCTTAGGAGGTTCATATTAGGCAGCTATCACTTTGGATTCTAGAACTTTTCCCTTCCACACTACAAAGAAACCAGGTAGCCACTAATCATGCCTCCCTGGTACTCGCCCTCCTCAGCATGTTTCTGGGGACTGACATGGCTTGGCCTTCGGTTTCAGCGGCACTAGACAGTAGCATCTGTTCATCTGGATCCTCCAGCTCACCCTGCATGATCCAGAAAACCCCTTTCCTGTTTCTCTCTCCAAACCCCACCCACTCGAGTCTCCAAACAAAGAAAAGTCACCAAAAAACAAAGAAAAGCCACCAAAAAAAAAAAAAAAAAAAAAAAAGCCACCAAAAAACCGAGCTCGGCATCATTCTTTGGCAGCTACTGCAGCTTCTTCCCCTGAAGTTGCTCAGCTGCCCAAGTCCTCTCCCCCCCACTCCCACCCCCCACCCCCACCCCACCCCACCCCACCCCTGTCCCAAAGTGCCCAGTTTTTTGACTATACTGGGGCACAAACCCAGCTTGTGGCGGATACATCATCACCCCTACTCTGCTTTCATTTGTGGGCGTGGCTTCTCACCTGGGCAATTGCTTTGCTCAAATCTGTTATATTTTTCAGTTAGGCTTGAGAAACTTATTATGGGGGGGGGTTGGGGTGGAGAGAGGTGGGGGTGGGGTGCGGAAAACCAATTAGTAACTTTTTGTGTCAGCACTGTTTCCAAGGTTCATCACAGAGTAATACAGGCCAGTGCGTACCTTTGTATTACAAAGTATCGGATGGTCTAAGGGAAAAGCTCAGTGATCCTAGCTTTGGGGGGATCCTGGGTAGGAGGACTCCCTAAAAGCTCTTTACAGATGAATACGTTAGCATATCCCAGACCAAGGATATTTGGGGTGATTTCCCTTGCCCTGCTTAGTATTCCGCGCCCTGGTTGTCGTCCTCTCATACACCATGGCAACTCCGGGTTGTTGATGGTTCTGTTGATGGTTCACTGTCCTCAGGTTCTCTTTTTTGCTTTGGTCTATTCGAGACAGGGTTTCTCTGTGTGGCCCTGGCTGTCCTGGCCCTCACTCTATAGGCCAGGCTGGTTTCGAACTCAGAGCTCTGCCTACCTCTGCCTCTAGAGCGCTGGGTTTAGAGGCTTGCGCCACCAATGCCCGCATGTCCGCAGGCTCTGTAGAAAATGTTCTGTGCAGCTCTTTTCTCACATTACCAAATCCCATGTTGGTAGTTTCAGTTAGGCCAGACAGGGGGAGTGTGCTCACAGGTTCTGTGTAAGGAGTCGGGTTTGTCCGCCCACTCCGCCCGCCCGCCCGCCTGCTGTCTGTAAAGAGCTCTGGTGTTTACCAGCGGAGCCAGTCCTGGTGTTTGAAACCAGAACAAGGGGGTTGGGCCAACAACTCTAAAGCAGGGGTTTTGTTCCATGGGGGACAGTGTCATCTTTGTTTTCATAACACTAGCAAAGCGTTCTGGAGGAGGGAATGCAATGCTCACACCACACAGCGAAGAAATGTTCCAAACCCTATGATCTGCAGGGGGTGCTCTGTTTGTTTGTTTGTTTTTCCTATTTTTTGGGGGGGGCTGCGCAGTTCTGCCTCTGTAGCCCAAGCAGGCCTCAAACTCACAGCACACCTGCCTGGGCCTGCTAGCTGGGATTGCAGATGCAAGCCACGGTATCTGGATTTCCCTGTGGCTGTTGAACAGTGACTATCTCAGGCGAGCACAGGGAGAACCCTGCTGACCTCTGAGCCCAGGATCAGCTTTGCACACTTGCTAAGCCCCTGGTGGTTTTGGTTTTTTAGGTTTTGTTGGTTTTTTTTTTTTCCCCCATGGCCTGAATGGGTTAGGAAAAATGGCCTTTTGTATTTCAACCGACCCACATTCTGGGCTTGGCACATGTCATGATGGCCACTCACAGCCACTCCATCCTTCTGTTGTTTCAAAGTGAGGAGTCAGAGAAGAAAGGTAGCTTTGATGGGGACTTTTCATGCTTGGGTTTTATTTGTTTGTTTTCGATATGGTGGCTTGAACCCCACCTGGCGTGCTAGGCGGGCACCTTAGCATGGGGTCATGCCCCAAACTCCTCACGGGCAGATCCTAGGCAGGGTGTTCTGCCACACGAACCATGGCCTTCCTTTTACTTTTTATTTTATTACTATTGTGTATGTATTTATTTTTTTAGTGTATATGAATACATGTGTGTGTACACAGGCACTGTGGAGGCTAGAGATAGATATTCACTATCTTCTTCCATTGCTGTCTGTGCTGGTAAATGTTCTTGTCAACCTGATATAAGTTCATAGTCATACGGGAAGATGGAACCTCACTTGAGAAAATGTCCCACCAGATGACCCTGTGGGAAAGCCTGCACCGCATTTTCTTAATTAGAGATTAATGTAGGATGGTTGTGATGGCTGCTCCTGGTTGTCAACTTGTCTTTATCCGGAATGAACTACAATCCAGAAATGGAGGGCACACCTGTGATCCAGATCTGGAGGCAGGAAGACAACACACCTTTAATCCAAACCTTGAGGCTGGAAGGCACACCTTTAATCTGGGCCACACTTTCTGTTGGAAGCCTATGTAAGGGCAATGGGAGAGGGGAGGGTGTCCTCCCCTCTTCGGCCCATTCATTCCTTCTTTGAGATCCCAGCAGACCCAGCTGAGACACCCAGCCTCCTGGGGCTGAGCAGACACTAGATTCTTAGACTTCCATTCATAACTACTCATTGTTGGACTGCAATTTCATATACATATATGTATACATATATATATATATATATGAATGAGAGAAAGAGGGAGAGAGATATTTTCATTCCATAAATTCTGTGACTTTAAAAGAACTCTTACTAATACAATGGCTCAGATCCCTGGGGGTAATGGCATTTTTACCAGTTAGATGGTATAAGAATGTAGGCTGAGTAACCCTGTCTCAATAATAATAATAATAATTAATAATTAATAATGGTAGTGGCATTTTTACCAGTTGATCTTAGATGGTATAAGAAAGCAGGCTGAGTAACCCTCTCTCAATAATGATAATAATAATAATAATAATAATAATAATAATAATGATAACAACAACAGAAAAAAAGTAGCAACAAGAGTTGCTATTTGTGTAACATTTTCCATGCCCCAGCTTGCCTGGCTTCAAGTGGCTGTGTGACTCTGGGAAATTTACCTTCCCTCTCTGTGTTTTGATTCTCCTGTGCACATAGAGCTATAAAGAATGCCCACTATTAGGGCCAAGATTGATGGTGCAGAACTTTAGTCCCAGCACTTAGGAGGCAGAAACTTAGGAGGTGGCTCTGTGAGTTCAAGGCCAGCCAGGGGACTACATACCAAGCTCCAGGCAAACCAGGGCTACATAGTGAGATCCAGTCTCAAAACTAAAGAGTGTCAGCCATAGGGGCTAAGTGTGGTGCATTAGGCACTGGTTCAATTCCCCACATACCAAAAGGGGGTAATCCTTTGGCTCACAAGATAGTTCCCTTGATAAAGCTCTTGTTGGGAAAGCCTGAAGACTAGAGTTCAGTCCCAGGCCCGTGTATCAGCCAGGTGTTGGGGTAGGAGAATGGCTCGATCCATGGAGCCCTTGTTGAGCAAGTGTGAGGACTGAGTTCAAACCTCGGCACATGCATAAAAGTACAGGAAGGCAGCCAGTAGGCCGGCCGGCGTCACAAGTCAAAGCTCTCCCAGCTCAGGCCTGATCACCTGGGTTTCAACCCAGTGCGTGGTGCGCACCTATAATAGCAGCTCTATAGTGAGAAGAGAGGCAGGGAGGGAAGCTTGGAACACACAGCGTGGCAGAAACAGGAGACCCTGACCAAGTAAGTTCAAAATCATCTGACAGGGTGGACAGCCTTCTCCACATGCACACGCACATGCGCGTACACACGAGCGCACATGAACACACAAACAGGCACATGCACACACAAACACATGCACACCCATATAAAACCAAAAAGTGTCTGCTGTTGGATAAGGTTGGCAGCTGACGGTGTAGTACAGCCGTTTGCCCAGACGGTCTTGAGACGAGACGCTACAGCGCTGCAGGGGAACCCAGCATGGCTGGACTCTCCCAGCTCCTTCAGACGGTCCCTCCTAACCAGCATCCTGCCAGGCACCTGACAGGGAGCCAACCTCTGGCCTGCCTCCCTCTGGAAGCCTGGCCACCTGGTTCTAGGATGTCAGCAGGTCCACCCTGGGCGGGGTTTCTACCCGGGCCTGGGAGAGGGCACAGGAACCTTTAGACCTAAATGACTGAGCCAGGCTGGAAGGGACACCAAGCTACCTGCCTGCAGAGGCCGTTCCTCTGTTACCACAGCCAGAAGAGGTGAGCATGGGCGGGGGGGGGGGGGGGGAGAGGGGGAATGGGGGGGTTGGGGGGTGTTGGGGACAGGCCTCCTGCTCCCTCAACAAACCCTAGGGATCCAGGGCTCTCTGGGGGGAGATGCCATTGATGGCAAACAGGATCCAGGACCTGGCTCCCCAAACTCTGGGTTCTCAGCCTGAGTCTCCCAGCCTCCAGTCCCTCAGCCAGTTCATTCAGCTCCTAAGCCCTCCAGATCCTGAGTTCCAAGACCTCAGTGTTTCCGATCGCTAGCTACCCCCACCCCCCACCCCCACTGCTGGTCTTGGAGTCCCTGGTCCCCCAGCCCCTGGTCCCCTGCTCCTGGTCCCCCTGCTCCTGGTCCCCCAGCTCCTGGTTCCCTGCTCCTGGTCCCCCTGCTCCTGGTCCCCCAGCTCCTGGTCCCCCAGCTCCTGGTCCCCCAGCTCCTGGTTCCCTGCTCCTGGTCCCCCTGCTCCTGGTCCCCCAGCTCCTGGTCCCCCAGCTCCTGGTCCCCAGCTCCTGGTCCCCCAGCTCCTGGTTCCCTGCCCCTGGTCCCCCTGCTCCTGGTCCCCCAGCCCCTGGTCCCCCAGCCCCTGGTCCCCCTGCTCCTGGTCCCCCAGCTCCTGGTCCCCCAGCCCCTGGTTCCCAGCTCCTGGTCCCCCTGCCCCTGGTTCCCCTGCCCCTGGTCCCCCAGCCCCTGGTCCCCCAGCCCCTGGTCCCCCAGCTCCTGGTCCCCCAGCTCCTGGTCCCCCAGCTCCTGGTTCCCCTGCTCCTGGTCCCCCTGCTCCTGGTCCCCCTGCTCCTGGTCCCCCTGCTCCTGGTTCCCCAGCCCCTGGTTCCCCAGCCTCTGTCCCCTAGCCCCCAGTTCTTCCAACCCTGTCCCTCCAGCACCCAGTACCTGCCTTCCAGTCCCAATCTCCCTCATCCCCCACCCACAGGTCCCTTCCTGCTCCCGATTCCAGGAACAAATGCAGATGGAGGGCAGAGCTGGGCTGAGTGCAACCGGATTTTCCTGTTCCCATACCCAAGGCTCCCACATCAGCCAGGGCCCTCAGAACCCTGCCCTTGCCCCCTGCCCCGGGGGAGAGTCATCCGAGCGCCGTCATCACAACATTCTCTGTCCCTCTGAGATTTCAGGGCGGCAGCTCTCTCACAAGCCGCCCTGAGAACCACAGTGCCGACATCCCTCGGCACGGGGACAGAAAAGGCTAGGGCAGTGCCCGGCACAGGAACGGCACTCCTGACTGTGCATTGCTACGGAAGGGGGCAGGGCAGGGCAGTCTCTGGATGGAAAGGGCAGAGAGGAGCTGAGTCACAGGGGAGAGGAGAGTCATGCTAGTACTCAAGAAGCCGAGGCAGGGGGATTTCTGTAAGTTAGGCGTCAGCCTGGACTACATGGAAAACCCCTGATAGGGAAGGGGACGGGGGGGGGGGGGAGAACGGGAAGGGAGACTGCTAGGGGACTGGAGACGGCTTCTCCTTCCGAGTGGGGAGACGGCTTCTCCTTCCGAGTGGGGGAGACGGCTTCTCCTTCCGAGTGGGGGCCTCTTTCTGACACACTGCACCCTACAACGGGTCCCAGGAGACCCAGATGGAGGAAGGGACAAACTGAACTCAACGTTTTCCTTTAAACCCTGTGGCCCCCAAGAGGCATTGCAGCAGCTGTAGAAACTAGGGCTGGCCAAGTGATGAACTTCCAGGTGCTCCAGAGGCTGAAAAGCAAGAGCAGAAGTTTAAGGCCAGGCTAGGCGACAGCATGAACTCAGCCTGGGCCACTCAGTGGAGTGTGACTGCTCCGAGGTGTGGTTGAGGGGAAGGATTTTACTGTACGAGAGAGAGAGAGAGAGAGAGAGAGAGAGAGAGAGAGAGAGAGAGAGAGAGAACAGCCGGAGGAGAGCAGAAAGAACAGCTTCCACAAACGTCCAGCCTGGACGGGGCCAGCAGAGAGGAGGGGGCGGGAGAGAGAGAGAGAGGGACAAAGAAAATGGGGGGCAAATGGATGAAGAGATCCTGGAGCGGAGCCAGGAGGACACAGACAAGATGGCTGCTTACGTAGTAATCAGAAATGATGCTCAGGGCTGGAGAGGGTTAGGGTAGGAGGTGGGAGGTACTCACAATGCTGAGAGCCCAGCTAGCCAGTGTCTGCTTTAATAGGCACCTAGTCAGTCGCTTGTCCAGGTTTGGGACCTAGCCCCAGTGGCCACACTCACTCCTGATAACCAGACACACTGCTAAGTAGAGAAGCCCATGGTGCCCGCTGGACAGTGTGGAAGTAGAGGACCAGGAGTGTATGGCTTCTCACATCTTCAGGGCTGCTGGAGCCTGGAGACACCACTGATCTGCCCTGTGGCTGCAGAGTCTCCCCAGGATCCTGACCCTAGAGCTGGGAGAGGCCGGGCCCAAACTTCTGGTTAAGATAAAAGTATGTGATGTGACCCAGGTAAGCGGCCTTGGGGTGCTAGGACTGCAGTTAGGGACTTAGAGAGTGAGTTTTGTGTGATGAACCTCAGTACAATAAAGTATAATGGCTGCCATATCTACTATTCATATCTACCTTCCTGCTCACAAGGACCAAGAAAGCCATGGCTGAAATGGCAGAGTCATATGGGAATGAGAAGCTGCGGGAAGAAAACTCATGAGCTGGAGAAGGTTAGGCTAGGAGGCTGGCTGAGAAGAGCCCCAGGTACTGTGTGAGCCTAGAGCCAGTGCACTTCGGGATGCTCAAAGGCACCACAGATACCCTTCATCTCCTCTGACCGCGAGGAGGAATGCCTTCTTTGGTGGAGGGGAAAGGGGCCCCAGACTCTGTGGGCAAATAGTGAAAGTAAAAAGACAGGAAGTGTAGGTGCCCTTGGCCTGTAACTCAGGGGCTGAGGGTCTGAGTCTGGACTATAGCACAAATTCAGGGCCAACCCAGGCAACTTCGTGAGACAGCCTTCAAGCTAAAGCAACGACAGATACAGCTGGCGATGTCACTCAGCGGTAGAGCCCCAGCCTATAGTCTCCCAGTGAGGGGCTGGGGAAGTGATCGCTAGGCATGCTGGCCGCCCTGAGTTCCGTCTCCACTGCCATAGAAGGAAAAAGAATAAACCAGTAAGGAAGCCATTTCTACTTGTCCCCTCCAACCCCGCTCTGTCCTTACCGTTGGCTCTCTGGTGACCTATCTCTGTTCAATCTTTTTCTTGCCTCTGTGTGTGTGTGTGTGCGCGTGCATGTTTGTTTGTTTTTGGTTTTTGCTGGGGGGGAGGGGGAGCAGTATTGAGACAGGGTTTCTCTGTGTAACATCTTTGGCTGTCCTGGAACTCTCTCTGTAGACCAGGTTGGCCTCAAATTCACCTGCCTCTGCCTCCCAAGTGCTGGAATTAAAAGTGTGCACCACCAAACCTGGCTTCCCATGTGTGTTTCATTGAGATAAAGTCTCACACTGTGGCCCAGGCTGTGTGCAACCTGCGTGATTCTGTCCGAGCTTCCCAAGTGCTAGGATTGCATGACTGCCACCCTTACTTACTCCAGGCTGATTTCTTGTCAGGCTCGGTAGCTATTAGCATCTTCAATATGCACAGCTCCCGAGCTTGGGATGGTATCCTTTGTTCCCTGTGCCTGACACTGCAATCTTAGCACTTGGGAGGCGGAAACAGGAGGTTTGGTATGAGTTCAAGGCCAGCCTGGGTTCATAGTGAGCTACAGGCCAGTCTGGGCTGTAGTGAGACCCGGTCTCATAAAAGCAAAGCATAGCTGAGCAGGGAAGCTGCCGAAGCCGGGGTGTCCTTTTAGTGAGGTCGCAGGGCACTGGCAAGGCTCATCCCATGAGCCCACACTCTAGATTCACAGAGTTCACACCCAGGCATTGAGTCAGAAGGCCTGAATTTGTTCGTTTGTGGTGTGTGTGCACACGCGTGCACTCGCGTACATGCACCCGTGTCTGTGGAGGCCAGAGGGAGGTCAGGTGTCTTTCTATGCCATTTCCCCACCTTAGTTTTGAGGCAGAGTCTTTCACTGAACCCAGAACTCGAAAATTCAGCTCCACTGTTTGCTGGCAAAGCTAGGGTTACAGATTTGGCTGCCTAGCTTCTGCGTGGCGCCAGGGCTGGGACTGGGGTCCTTCTGTTTGTGCTGCAGGAACTTTACCCATAGAGCCATTTGATCAGATCCGCCTTATCTTATTTTTACTAATGTGCGTGTGTCTGTGCCCATGGAGGACAGACGGTATCACCGAAACTGGAGTTGCGGTGTTTGTGAGCCACCTGCAAAGGCAGCCAGCTCTCTTAACCACTGAGCCAGCTCTCCAGCTCCTCTACCTTAGTTCTGAGACAGGGTCTCCCACTGAACCTGTAGTTAGCTCACTGGTCAATTTAGACTGGCCAGCGATCCCCCCCCCCCGTATCTTCCTGCCTCTGCGCTAAGTGTCCGGTACAGAGACGGGTTGCGCTGTGGTCACAGACAGGTGTACCACATGCTGTGTGTACCATGCTCTCTGTAGAAGAGGTGTTTGTGCTTGCTCGGCAGGCCCTTTACCCACGGTCGTCGCCCCGGACCAGCCCAGGCTAGCTCCGAGCTCAGCTCACAACAGTTCTGCTGCCTCAGCCTCCTGAGCAGCAAGATGGCAGGCACACATCGTCACAGCTTGCCTGAGTTTCTTCTGGTGAATCACAAATCAGGAGTGCATGTCAGCCTGCAGCCCAAGCTCTGAGTTGGCCCTGTGACTGCACTCCTGTGCAGAATGAACCCTCTAAGCTTTGATGCTCTTACAAGCTGCTTGATTTAATGCCAATATCCTTTTGACTCAGAGTCGTCAGGCCCAAGCCTATGGTCAGGGTTCCAGGCCTTCCGCCAACAACGGGAAACCTTTTTGTCTTTGACCGGGGGTTTCAAAAAGCCGCCTCTGGAGACTGAGAGCAAGGTGCTCAGTGCTGCAGACAACTGGTCCTCTGAGATGAGGTCGTAGGACTTCTGAAGAACTCGGGGAGCCTTGAAGCCTTGAGCCCTCCAAATTTCCATCCCTGTCACTTAGATCTGAGTCTTGTGACACTGGCATAAGTATTGGCCACATCCTGGCTGCAGATGACAAAGTTGCCCAGCCTCTAGACCAGCAGTTCTCAACCTGTGGGTCCCAAACCCCTTGGAAGTAGAATGGTTCTTTCACAGTGGTTGCCTAAGACCATTAAAAAAAAAAAAAAAAAAAAAAAAAAAAAAGCAAACGAACCACAGAGATTTGCATATTTATGGGTTCACCACTACATGAGAGCTGTATCAAAGGTTTGCCTGCTCTGGAGTGCTGAGATTGAAGCTGTGCCACTGTACACAGCTTGATGTTTTTAAAGATTTATTTTACATCTTTAAAATAAGTGTGTGTGTGAGTGTGCGTGAGTGTGCGTGTGAGCGTGTGCGCGTGAGTGTGCGTGTGAGCGTGTGCGCGTGCACGTGCCTGTGCACCATGTCCCTTCAGTGCCTGCAGAGACCGGTAGACAACATCTGCTCTCCTTGAGCTGCCATTACAGCTGTGCTGTGGGAGCTGGCAACTGAACTCCTGTCCTGTAGGAGCAGCAGGTGCTTTTAAGCTCATTTCTTTTGTTCTGGTTTTCTTTGTTCAAGACAATTCCTCTGTGTAGCCCTGGTTGTCACTTCCTGCACCAAACTGGCCTCTGCCAGTCACCGTGACCCTCTTAATTATCTTGCCTCTCTCTCCTGACTCACACCCTCAGTCCCTGATTGCTGGGTTCTAGACATGTGCTCCACTCTGGGGCACATCCTTAGGCCTCTCCTTACTTTTGAGAATAGAACTCACTCAGTTACCCAGACTGGCCTTGAACTTGTATTCCTCTGGCTTCGGCCTTCCCAGTAGCAACAGGCCTCCATCCCTATGCCAAGCTGGAATTAACATCTCTATCGAACCATGGGACATTCTCAGTCGAGTTGGGGAAAGGAATGAAGCCCCACCATGGCCATATGCATTAAAACGCCTGTCACTTAGCCTAAAATGTCTACATATGAAAGAAGTATTAACTAACCATGGCAGCCTTCTCACACATGTTAATTGTGCTGGAATTCTGACACAGCGAGAGGCTCCTGACTCTGGAAAGAGGAGACCTTTCCCTTCCCATGTCCCTGATTTTTTTTTTTTTTTTTTTTTTTGTTTTTTTTTTTGTTTTTTTGTTTTTGTCTTCCTTCATCCTGCCTCATTTGAGCACCGGAAGGGCACGTTCCCTCAAAAAGGACATCAAATGGAGCATCCGGGCTCACTCTGTAATCCCAGCACTGGAGAAGCAGGGTTGGGCTCACAATTCTTGGCTAGCCTGAGCTACAGAGTGAAACCCAGGCGATTTGCAAACAGGTGCCAAGTATTTATGCCCACATGCCTTCGAGCACAGTCTATCCAGGGCGCCCGGCTAATCTGCATCCTTTTTTACCCTGGCAGCCATGGGCAACTCCCAGGTTCCTTTCTCCTTCCCTCTGGCTCACTTCCTCGTCTTTGTCTTCGTGGCTTCCACCATCATCCACCTCCAGCACAGAATAGTGAAGATTCAACCCCCGTTGGAGATTCACACAGGAGAGCCAGCAATCACACAGATGCAGGGGAGTGGCCAGATGGAGGGCATGTTCACCATCAATTCCATTGGCCGCCTGGGGAACCAGATGGGCGAGTATGCCACGCTGTTCGCACTGGCCAGGATGAACGGAAGGCCTGCATACATCCCCGCATCCATGCACAGCACCCTGGCGCCCATCTTCAGGATCAGCCTCCCGGTGCTGCACAGCGACACCGCCAAGAGGATCCCGTGGCAGAACTATCACCTCAACGACTGGATGGAGGAGCGCTACCGCCACATCCCAGGGCGTTATGTGCGCCTCACAGGGTACCCGTGCTCCTGGACCTTCTACCACCATCTGCGGCCTGAGATCCTCCAGGAGTTCACCCTGCACGACCACGTGCGTGAGGAGGCCCAGGCCTTCCTGCGTGGCCTGCGGGTGCATGGGAGCCAGCCGAGCACGTTTGTGGGTGTCCACGTGCGCCGCGGGGACTATGTGCACGTCATGCCCAATGTGTGGAAGGGCGTGGTGGCTGACCGGGGTTACTTGGAACAGGCCCTGGACTGGTTCCGGGCCCGCTATCCATCTCCAGTCTTTGTGGTCACCAGCAACGGTATGGCCTGGTGCAAGGACAACATCAATGCCTCCCGAGGGGATGTGGTGTTTGCTGGCAACGGCATCGAGGGGTCACCAGCCAAGGACTTCGCACTCCTCACCCAGTGCAACCACACCATCATGACTATTGGGACCTTCGGGATCTGGGCTGCTTACCTGGCAGGTGGGGACACCGTTTACCTCGCCAACTACACCCTTCCAGATTCTCCCTTCCTCAAAGTCTTTAAGCCAGAGGCAGCCTTCTTACCTGAGTGGGTGGGCATCGCTGCAGACCTATCCCCACTCCTTAAGCACTAACACAAGCCTGACCCCCCCCCCTTCCATCTCTAGGCAGGAGGAGCTCCGCGTTACACCCACAGGAAGAGCCTTCTCTCTGAAAGTGTGCCTTGGGCTGCAAACAAGGCATCAAACAAGCTCAGCAAACATACGGACATGGGAGGCATCACCAGCTCCAGCATTAAGTAACTGGCTCAGTGGCCACAGTGCCCGAATACTCCTGGCAGTGGAGTCTCCGTGTTTTAGCAGCTGTCTCATGGTACAGGAAGGGCTGTCACATGCGGACAGCATTGCAGAGAAAAATTCACTACCTCACCTTGAGTTCCTTCAAAGGGGGAGACAAGCCCTCGTTTGTCTACTTTTTGTCACTAAGGAAATACCTGAAGCAGGCTTATTTATAAAGGTCCAGTGAGTACCCCATGGTGATGGCGTTTCCATGTTTCCATGGTGGGATAGCACGTGACAGCCAGCGGTCATCTGGGACGCATGAGCAAGGAGAGGGATTGGGTTTGCTCTTTTTATAGCAACCGCCTTTCAAGAACTTTCTGGAGTCTCCTGAGAACCGCTCGCCCCTTGAAAGTACCTTCACTGACCCAAGAACTTTTTGAGATCTGTTAAAAAGCTTTATTTTTATCCTAATTATGGGTATTTGTGTCTGTGTGTGTGTGTGCACGAGAGTGCTGTATCCTCAGAGGCCAGAGCTGGGTGCCGGATTCCCTGGAGCTGGAGTTACAGGTAGCTGGGGATTGCTCTCTGCATCTCTCAAGGACCTGCCATCAGCACAGTGTGGACCAAAGTAAAGTCCAATGACAACCCCACTCCAGCACTCCAGCAGCTAACACCCTTGTCCCCGTGACAGGAATGGTGTCAGTATATGCCCACGTGGCTCATAATGAGTCAAGAAGAAAGAGAATGTAGGATTGATTTAGCCTGGGATCCAAAGTAGCAGTCGCTCGCTGCACAAAGTCAGCTGATCATAAGAAAGCGAGGGCTACCATGTGCCCACAGCCCCCCCCCCAACAAGTTGCTTGTCCTTGGGACTCAGTCCACCAAGGGTCCTTTCTTTTGTCTTGCTCAGTCTGTCTGAGAACAACTCTGGAACGCAGCTCAGGTGCACCGGCTGCATGCCCACTTCTGTAGCCCTGGCTTCCCGCAGACCAGTGTGACATCCCCAGTCCTAGGGGACCCCCAGATATTTGAGCGCGTGCTGCCATCTTGTTACACTTCTGGTGCGAGCACACACATGATATCCCTCCCACAAAAAACAACAAAACAACAACAAAAAAAACAACAAAACAAAACAAAACAAAAAAACAAAAACAAACAAACAAAAAAAAACAACAACAACAACCAAAAAAAAAAAAACCAAAAAAAACAAAAACGCAACCCCTGTTGCCACCATGATGAAAACAGCCAGGGTGATCTAGGGGAAGTATTCCCGGGGGCAGCATGAACCCCAAGGTGTCTTCCCAGACCCCTGTTAAGTTGGTGCTGATGTTGTGCGTGGGGATGGCTTGCAGTGGGCAGTGCTAGCACTTCCCGCATCCCAGCACTGGGGACGTTAAAGCAGGGGATCTGATATTTGGAGGGTCTAGCCTGAGACCCTGTCTCAGAAAAGGAAATTCTCAAACTGGGTGTGGCAGCGTACACCCGTGAGCCCGACCTTCAGGAAGTGAGTGCAGGGAGATCAGGAGTTGGAGCCTTCAGTTGCATAGGGAGTCCTGGCCAGTCGAAGCTGCATGAGACCTGTCTCAGAGACAAAATCACAAAACCCAGGCTGGGCAGTGGTGGTGTGCACGTTTAATCCCAGCACTCAGGAGACAGAGGCAAGAGGACCTCTTAGTTTAAGGCCAGTCTGGTCTAAACAGAGAAACCTTATCTCAAAAAAAAAAAAAAAAAAGGAAAGAAAATTGCAAAATCCAAAAGAAACAAAAATGTGCCTCTCCACATGGGGCTTTTGTTTGTTTGTTTGATCTTGAGATTGGGTCTCTACAGAGCCCTGGCTCTCCTGGAACTCTCAATGTAAATCAGGCTGGCCTTGAGATCTGCCTCCAGAATGATAGGATCAAAGGCATGGCCAATCATCCCCAGTCTGATTTCACATTCTTGAAAGGGATAAAATGGATTTGAGTTATTCCTCCGTCTAGATGTGTGGGATATGGCTGGTATACACTTTTAATTCCAGCATTCTGGAGCCAGAGGCAGGAGGATCTCTGTGAGTCCAGCCTGGTTCACAGAGAAAGTTCCAGGACAGGCTCCAAGCCACAGACAAACCCTGTCAAGAAAAAACAAACAGAAAAAGATCAGAAAATGATGGTAAATGAGCTGAGTATACGGAAAGTAATGAACTTTATCTAGTGGGTGGATCATTTGGGATGTGAATTCTATCTCCAAATGCTGTTAAGTCAGGCCAGCACTGTCCACTGATTTTTGACGGCCATATAGTTGTGTAACCAGAATCACATTAAGATAAAGGGTCATATGTGGTTCATCTAATTTGAGCACTCAAGAAGCTGAAGCCCGACAATGTCTAGTTTGAGCACAGCCTGGGCTACTTGGGGAAATCTTGTCTTGTGGGGGGGGGGGAGGAAGAAGGAGGAAATGGAAGGAAACAGGATTCTCTCCCTCTGTGAAGATCGGGTGGTAAGTGGGTTCGCAGGGACAGAGGCTAGGGAGGGACTGAAGTTAGGGTAACAGGGTAAGGTGTGCTTATCAGCTGCCTGCTCTGTGCTCAGGCCAGCACCCACACCAAACCTGCCCTAGCTTTCCAGTCTCCAGAGAATGCCTACCTCTCCTGGGTTGTGCAGGGTTCTGCAGAGCTCTCCACCCAAGGCTGACTGGCTGAGGAGAGATGCTGACAGAGGGCAGGGGGGGGGGGACTTGGAAATTAGACCCCAAGGCATCGGGAGAGGGACAAGGGGGTGGGTCCCACAGCAGACAGGGCAGCTGTGACTGGGAGACAGTGGGAAAAAGGATGCTCCCTTCACCAGGGGGCGACTCAGAGATGGCAGACGCAGGTGGAGACTAAGTGGGGGCAGAGGACACGAGACAGGAAGGGACCAGAGCAGGCAGAGATAGGCAGAGACTGGCATGGGAATAAGTACACTCAGATGCTGTCTCAAAAAGCAAGGCGGGGAGAGGCCTGGAGAGACGCTGCTCCTGCCGATGCTCTTACAGTTCCGGGCACCCATGTCAGGCAGCTCACAATTCCAGCTCAGGGCAGTGACAGGGTCCTTGGGCTTCCAAGGACTGAGCGTGTATGTAGTGTGTGTAAAAATTTAAGAGTACAAGAAACCAGGAGGAAAGTGCCTAGAGGCAGGAGAGGAAGCCCGCTCTGCCCTCCTGACCCTCCAGGGCTGGGAGCTCCTCCGTCAGCTTTCAGCTCAGCACAGGACCCTTCAGGGTCAGCTCTGTCCATCTGTCCATCTCCAGCCTGGGCAGGAGATGCGGTCATACTCAGTGCACTCAACCTCACTAGCTTCCCCGGGAGCCAGCTTCCTCCATAGCTTGAGGTCTTCACATCTCTCTTCCAGGATGCCATCTTCCAGGAAGTTCTCTACCAGTAACCCTTGGAGGCTCAGCTATTTTTCGGACCCCTTTTCTACTTCCCAGGGTTTCTGCCCCTTTCGGAAACCCTGATCAGTCACGACTCCGTGATCCCACCTACCATAGCCACCGAAGGACAGCCAAGGTTACACAGGGAAGCCATCCGTGTCTGGTGGTCTCAAGTGTTCAGCTTGCGCCTTCCCCTCCCTGCATTTCCCTCTCTCTGTCTCTCTGACACAAGGTCTCATGTAGGCCAGGCTGGTCTTGAACTCTCTATAGTTGAAGTTCATCTTGGACTTCTGCTCCTCCGGCCTCAGCTCTTCCTGTCTATTGCTCTGAGTGCTAGGATTACAGGTGCGAGCTAGCCCTCCAAACTGCACATTCATTCTTGGAAGTCCTGGCCTACCACACAAGAAAGCCAGGGCCTCGTAGGAAGAACATATGGAGAAGAAGGGAGCCGAGACTTCACTCTGGTTGGTCCAGACGTACAGTGACCCCGTTGGGCTCAACCCCATCTCCACCATTGTACCAACATACCTGAGTGAGCCATCTTGGATCTCCTCACCCACCTGGGCTTAGGGATGACTACATCCCTCTCAAACCTTGTGGAGCTGAGTAACTACCCTGCAGAGCCCAGTGAACCACAGCCAATTGTTGCTATGCTTTGAGTATGCACTGTCCCACACTGGCTCATGTGTAGCTGGTGGTGATATTTAGAGAGGTCTGGAAACGGGTGGGTAGGTCTTAGGGGCATCTTATCCTCACTCCGTCTGTCTTCCTGTCCACCATGAGCTGAAGAATCTCCTCCACACATTTGGTCACCATGATGTTCCACCCAAGCAAGTGGGGCTGAGCAACCACAGCTGAACCTTCTGAAATCCTGTGCAAATTGAGTTCCTTCTCCCTTAGCTTGGTCCCTTGGGTATGTTGGTCACAGCTATGTGAAAGTATCTAATTCAGTTCTGTTTGGTGGGTTTGTTCATAAGCCCAAACACAGACGCAGAGGCCCAGGCTCATGAGCCTTGAGCTGCAGGAGACCCACAGTTTAATTCAGTAGGCAGACATCCTCAAGGCATGTGGTGGAGCCTCACTTGAGGTCACATGCTAGCTCCTCTTCCCTTTTGCCGTCCATTCCCCACTGGGCTCTGCGAACCCGAACATGAGAGCTGGGAATGGTGGCTCATATTTCAGCCCTCATAAGGTTGAAGCAGGATTGTCACAAGTTAGAGGCCAGCCTGGGCTACAATAGCAAGACTTGCTCTCAACAAAACAAGAAAGCTAGGTATAATCACAACACTCAAAGATGCAGTCGTAGGGAGTTCATCACCTCCATTAGACACCCCTGGCCCTCTCACCTCTAGCTAGAACCTAGGGATCTGCCTTCCTCCTACTTAATCTCCTCTGGTCCTTTCCAGAACCCAAACAGCACTAACTTCCGGGTCCCTAGATGACAGGCAGGCAGCCAGAGTCTGGAGGAAGTAAGTGGTACACAAACCTTGCAGGTCTCTGAAGGAGGCAGTGAGCAAATGAACCCCACCCCAACTACACTGACTGGGAAGAGTCACACACAAGCCGGGCGTTTGACATGTCAGCAGCAGCGGGCCAGAAGGGGATGAGGGCAACTTGAGTCCTCTGTAGTTGGAGGGTCTCCTTGGAAACCCCAGGGTCCATCACCAGGGATCCGGCAGCAGTTCCCAAAGCCGAGTACCAGTGGAGTCAGATAAGTCCGCAGAGAAGATGCTGGGGCCTGGGGGTCCAGAGCCCAGCGGGGGACCCCCACTCAAGGTCTCCAGCCAGTCCAAGGAATCTGAGAGGGCCCTTGGAGAAGGGGACAGGGAGCTAGTGGGGGATGGGAGTGAAGAAGAGAAGACCGAAGAGAAGCCTTCCGAGTCCGGAGAGGGAGACAGCACATCAAAAGAGCCAGGGAAGTCCAAGACGATGGGAGGCAACACGTCTGCCGGGGGAGCGTCGGCCGGGGGAGCGTCTGCAGGGGGAGCGTCTGCAGGGGGAGCGTGAGCTTTAGGGGGAGCGTCTGCAGGGGGAGCGTGAGCTTTAGGGGGGAGCGTCTGCAGGGGGAGTGTGAGCTTTAGGGGGGAGCGTCTGCAGGGGGAGCGTCTGCAGGGGGAGTGTGAGCTTTAGGGGGAGCGTCTGCAGGGGAGCGTGAGCTTTAGGGGGAGCGTCTGCAGGGGGAGCGTCTGCCGGGGGAGCATCTGCAGGGGGAGCGTCTGCAGGGGGAGTGTGAGCTTTAGGGGGAGCATCTGCAGGGGGAGCATCTGCAGGGGAGCGTCTGCAGGGGGAGCATCTGCAGGGGAGCGTGAGTTTTAGGGGGAGCGTCTGCCGGGGGAGCGTCTGCAGGGGGAACCTGAGCTTTAGGGGGAGCATCTGCAGGGGGAGCATCTGCAGGGGGAGCGTGAGCTTTAGGGGGAGCGTCTGCAGGGGGAGTGTGAGCTTTAGGGGGAGCGTCTGCAGGGAGAGTGTGAGCTTTAGGGGGAGCGTCTGCAGGGGGAGCGTGAGCTTTAGGGGGAGCGTCTGCAGGGAGAGTGTGAGCTTTAGGGGGAGCTTCTGCAGGGGGAGCGTGAGCTTTAGGGGGAGCGTCTGCAGGGGAGTGTGAGCTTTAGGGGGACAGATCCTGCTCACAGCGCTGTTGCCAGCACACTCCTCCCTCGGACACCCCAGGAGTTCCCAAGTTCAGTTCCTCCCCTAAACATGGGAGCTCTGCTCCTACCATCTGGCTGCACTTGGTCTTCCAGGATGTCATCGATGTCCTGGTTCGGAAGCAGCTGTGGGTGAGCACAGGCCATGTGACCCCGGCTTAAGTCCACAGCCCAGTCCCTGAGCATGCCCAACCAGGCATCCCCTTTCACCTGCGCCCTGTGGATCGCTTCCTGCAGCTCCTCTTCCAGAGTCAGGGTGGCTGGAGAAGATGCTAAGGGACTTGGAGCTGGAGCTGGAGCGGGAGCGGGAATCCCCAGCGGATCTGTAGCTCCAGCAAACTTCAGTCTACGAGTTGTCGTGCTTGCCTTTGCCTAGAACCAGGAGCGGTGGGAGTTCCTTAAGCCAGCACACCAGCCGCCGTGGCTCTGCCTCCTGGCCCTGACGAAGTTCTTCCTTAGTTCACCCCAAAACTTTCTTTCTTCCTTCCTTTCTTCCTTTCTTTCTTTCTTTTCTTTTCTTTTTTTTTCTTTTTTTTTTTTTTTGGTTTTTCGAGACAGGGGTTCCCCGTGTAGCTTTGGAGCCTGTCCTGGAACTAGCTTTGTAGACCAGGCTGTCCTCGAACTCAGAGATCCGCCTGCCTCTGCCTCCCTAGTGCTGGGATTAAAGGCGGCACCACCAATGCCGGGCCACCCCAATACTTTTTTTTAAACACTTTTATTCAATGTGTATGTGCGTGCATGTGTGGGTACATCAAAGGACAATTTCAGGGTTGGTTCATGGCGTCCTTATCTTGTGGGTCTCGGGGATAGAACTCAGGTAGTCAAGCTAGGCAGCAGACACTCTTACTCCCTAAATAAGCAGATAGGCCCCGCTCCGACCCGTTCATTGGCTTCTCTCCCTTCAACCACGCCTACCGTTCTAACTACATCCTCAAGGCAGCCACACCCCCAAGTGTAAGTCACGCCCCTGGCCATCATTTCATTGGCTACCCTTTCCCAATTCCTCTTCTTTCTCCTGATTGGTCCATGTGGACAGCCCGCCCTCACCGTGCCGGCCCGCCGGGTAGGGCCCGGAGCCTTAGGCCTGAGGCGTGGCCAGGCAGCTGCAGCCTCTTTGTCCTCGCGCCTGGGCTTCTGCCGGTCTCTGGGCGGGACGCCACCGCGCATGCGCTCCAGGAGCATCGCCTTGGTCCCGGAGACTGGGAGCCCCCGCAGGCGCAGTTGCTGCCGAAGCTCAGAGACCTGAGGGGCGGGGCGGGGAGAGGGAGGTGCTGATCCCGCTTGGGGATCGATGACTCTTGGGGATCGATGACTAGGAAACCAAGAGGAACCAGAATTCAGACCGATTGCCCTAGGGTAGGGGCCATGGGCTTACGAGGTCTGTGTCCGGCCTGAAGAAGAGGGCCCTGGGACACTGGACACTAAACTCACCGTCAGCTCTTCCAACTTCAGGGTCTGAAGTTCCAGCTTGTGTGAAGGGGGTGAGGGGTTGGAGTTTCCTGGTGAGGAGGGCTTCATCCTAGCAACCGGCGTGAGGGGGTGAGGAAAAGTTAGGGCAGAGGGAGAAAGGTACTTAGGGACCCTAAAAACAGGGGCTTCGGAGGACGCAGGAAAGTGAGGGGTTCTGGGCCTCCTCAAACATAAGGCTGGGTTTATGGGTGTGGGAGCTGTGCAGCTGGGGTGGGGGCAGGGAACACAGCGGGGGCTCGGGGAGGGGGTTCCGATGCAGGCTCCTCTCCCTTGCACCCTGGGCTTGAGGAAGGATGATGGGACCCAAGTTTCTGGGTCCCTGTAGAATAAAAGTAAGAGTCCTACCGAGGACGTGGCCTCTGTGGGTTTTTCTCTTCCCCCAGAGGTGGCCCCTGGGCACCCAGAGTGGATCCCTCTGCTTGGAGAACTGCTCTAGGCCCTTGTCTCCGTTCTGGAGGCATGTACAGATGATATGTCAAGTTGCCCCTGACCTTGGGCTCCTTCCAGTGTTGGGAATTCTTGGAAGATTCCTGAAAGAGCAAGTAAGGCCAGGTTTGGTAGCTTGGTGGCCACCGCACCTTTCATCCCAGCACCAGGGAGGTCACGGAAGGATAGAAAGTTCTAGGCCAGTCTTGGCATACAGTGAGCTTGTCTCAAAAACAACCAGAAAAAAAAACAGGGATGACCCACCTTGCTGGCCCACGAATGTGTAGTGTCAGCTTGGCAACGCCACAAAGACAGCTCAGGGCCTACGAGAGGCAAGGCTGGGCTGTCTTGGGCTCTCGTCCTCTACTGTCAAAAACTCACCTTCTTTGGAGACCTCCAAGGACAATGTGCTGGCTCAGGGGACAGGACGCCAGGGCTCACAAGGAAAGAAGCAGGGGCAGGGGCCAAAACTGGAGCCAGAGCTGGGCCGGAGGCTGAGACCCACGGGTGTGAATCAGAGGCTGAAAAGAGCATAGGGCTCTGAATAGGTCAGCAGACAGCAGGCTAGTTAGGACAGACGGGGTTACAGAGAAGAGGGGCCAGCCTGCAGCAGGTAGCACAGGCCGGGCGGTGGTGGCCACGCCTTTAGTCCCAGCACTCAGGAGGCAGAGGCAGGCGCGTCTCTGTGAGTTCAAAGCCAGCCTGATCTACAGGACAGGCTCTAAAGCACAGAGAAACCCTGACTCGAAAAGGGGGGGAAGGGAGTTTTGTCTCAGTCAGAGGGGGTCTGTTTGCTTGTTCACTTTGGATCACAGCTGTCTAGCGTATCCCTGGGACAGAACCAGGTGATGCCTGTACCCCTGATTCCAAGGCAACGGACAAGCCAAAAAAACTATATTCACATAGTTGAGCGTGGGGGAGGCCGGGGTCACTGAGAGGGCATCTGGCGCGGGAGACCCGGGGAAAGCTTGATGGGTGGGGTGACCCGCGAGACCTCTGAACGTGGCAGGCTGGGGTTTCACCATTTGGGGCAAGCACGGTCCTTGGGGACTGAGTCCACCATCCCTTCCCTTCGAGGGCCCACACTTACTGCAGTCTTGATTCCGTCTGTGCATCCGAAGCTGCAGGACTGTGTGGAAGGAAGCGGGAGGTGGTATCAGGAAGGCGGGAAGGGAGTGTCCAAAGCCTGGCTTGGCCGATGGGTGGGAGCTACAGTTGTTGGCGGGACACGCGTGCCCAGCCCCTTCACACACCAGGGGCGGGTGGGCGGGCAGCCTGCTCCCTTCCCCTTCCCAGGGCCTCTTGCCTGCTCCTGCCAGCAAAGAAAGCAGCTTGGGCCAGAGCCACTCCTGAAGCTGTAAGCCAGCCAGCCTGCAAGCAGGAGGCAGCCATGCCCCTGGCTCCACCTGCCGCTCAGGGGACCGTGCCCCCCCTGGTCCAGTCGCCGCCATCTTGCCAGCCTGAGCCATCAACACCTCACTTCCTTTAGTCCGCGCACCCCTTCCTCGTTACCCCGGCATTCCCCACGGCCAGCACCCTGAAAACATACCCCTGAGGCTCACACCTCCTTGGACTCTAGTTTGCACACTTTACATTTGTGCTCTCAAAGCCCTTTGCATGATCTCCCACCCTGGCTTGTTCTTCGCTGGCACGCGTCCACATGAACGCTACTCACATACTCCAGCTTGGACCCTGGGTTTGGGAGCAGAGACTTTCCAGGGCTCATCTCTGCTCCTCTCTACTCAGAGAACTGGCAGCAAATCATGACTACTAAGACTTTCAAGGCTCCGTAGCTCTTGGTCCCGAGCCTCACGCCCATGCCACTCAGGTCCCACGCTGCTCGTCTGCTTTGCCTACTTTAAGTCCTTTGCAACAGGCGCGGCCTCGGGTGTCCCCACCTGAGGCTCAGCAGACCTCCGCACACTCATTCACCGCTTTACTTTCCATGAATGACCTGTGCTTCGTGGGGTCTCCGCCCAGCCAGGGGGAGTGTCGCTGGGACCCCGGGCGCTGGACAGGACCCCTCCCCACATGCTCTAGACAAGCAACCTCTCACCAGAGCGGAACTTGGAACGGATGATTTGGGAGCGCTGGGAGGAGGCTGCCAGGGTCATTGCCAAGGCTGGCGTGGAGACCTGGACAGAGAGGAAGGCAGGGCTGCTGGAGAGCAGGGTCAAAGTGGACGTCAGGGGGTTGCCAGTTGGGGAGATTCGGGAGAGGGTGTAACTGATTAGGGACAGAAGTACTGGGTCGGATCTGAGTGGACCAGGGTCTTCCATACTCAGGTCCAAAGGACCTGGACCCATGGTGTGTGAGAGAGACCAGGGCTAGCTAGGGCTTAGACCCCTAGGATTGAAGGTAGAGGGTTGAGGCCTGGACTTGCTCATGGACTACTGTGTCTGAAGAAGGGTTGGGGCCTGGAATTCTGAGTCTGAAGCTGGGGTCTCCACTCCTGGGTCATGGAGGTAAAAGAAGGACCTGAGTCATGGGCTCCTGCATCCTAAGGAGGGCATTGGAATCTGGGCCTCTGGGTCTTTGAAAGTACACGAAGCGGCCGTCTGGACTCTGAATCCTGAAGGAAAAGAAAGTTAAGGACTAGCACTCCATGCTCTTAGGGACTAGAATCCAGGGTTCTGGGTCAGCAGGGAATCGGGGCGGCTGATGGGTGTCTGGAAAATGCAGGGGTTCCTGCAACAGACACCTGAAACAGAGTGGGTTGAATGTCATGCACCAGGCTCTGTGGAAAAGGTATTCGGATCGGAAAGGGGAACCAAAACGGTGGAAAAAGGGTAATAAGGCGGGTCCCTGTCTCCACCCCAGGGGCTTCTCACCAGGTGGGATCCGCTCAGCTACTCAGCTGTGCCTGGAAGCGGGTGGAGTCTCGCGGACCGGGCTGGAGACCTCAGGCTCCGCCCGCCAGCCTTGGGCCGCCCTCGACTCCCCTTTCTGGGGTGAGCCGGAGCCCGGGTAACGGGCCTTAGATCAGAAACCGGGTCAGGACCCGGAGGAGGGGCGGGGCGCACACGCGGGGAGGGCCCGGGCCGGTTCACTTCGAGGATCCCCCTGCTGTCTCCTCCCCCGCGTCTCGGGCCTTTGGGTTGGGTGGGGCAGCCACAGGCGACAGACAGGAGCAGGTGCAGAGAGAGGGCCCAGGGTGAGCAACAGCGGCAGGTGGTCGCGTTCAGGCCATGCCAGCAGGTGCCACCTGTTGGTTCTTTTTCCCTGACACAGCAGTAGGAGTCAGATTCAGAGGAGGGGAAAGTTCAAACACGAGGCCCAGACCCCTGGTTCTGAGGAAGGAAGGGGCCTGAGTCACGACTCCTGGTCTGAGGAAGGAAGGGGCCTGAGTCACGACTCCTGGTCTGAGGAAGGTCTGGGGCTTAGGCTCCTGGTCAGGAGGAGGGGGCTGAGGTCTGCACTCTTGCATCTGATGGGTCTCTGAGGATAAAAACGGCGCTGGGTGTGGGAGTTCAGCAGTGTGCACAGTATGTAGACTGCATCGGAAGGACTTGGGTGGAAGGCTAGTCTGGGTTTAGTGGGTGGGAGGGAGATGGCCTGTTCCCGCTAGTGCACAGAGTCTGGTGCTCAGTGGAGCACGGTCTGGGCTTTGTTCCGAGTTGTATGGCAGGGTTCAGTGCTCCGGGGTCACATTTCGTGCTGGAGGCCAAGCTGAGGCCATTGCTAGAAATATCTCCCCAAACTCGGCAGACACCCAACGTTCCAAGCACAGTCCCGGGCACCTTAAAAACCATCTTCTCTAAGGCCCTCAAGATTCAAGCAAGGTCAATACCACAGATACTTTTATTACTTCTTAGCATTCATATCCCAAGCCCTTCTCCACACAGTTCCATCCTCTACCAATCAGACAACTCAACCTCCCAGCGGTCTACGCGGGAAAAACTACAACTCCCAGAATGATCTGCGCCCAGGGAGGCGACCATAAGAACCGATGAAGTCTCAAGCTTCGCGCGTTCTTCTGTCGTTGGTTTTCAAGGAGTCGCGGCCACCGGGGGTCCGTGGCGGTGATTGGCTGGCAGCTCCTGCTGCTCAAGATCCCAGAGGAGGCGACGGAGCCTGCGGAGTTCTCGATGCAATGCGTCATCTGTCACTAGGCCCGTGAGGCGCAGGCGCGAGCTGCCCAAAGGCAGGATGAGAGGAGGGTGCGAAGAAAAACTTTCAAAGATATCCCCTGTGAGGGCGAAGAAGACCAAGTTTGAGACTCAGCATGGGTGTGAGTTGGTCTAGCTCCTGAAGAGAACACTGCAAACGTGTGTGTGTGTGTGGGGGGGGGTGTCTCTGAGCCCCAGAGCATGATGGGAGTTGTAGTTAAGACTGGGGGGGGGGAACCACTAACAGGCTATGTAGTGGAGTCCTGGGACCCTGAGGATGGGCTGGGAATCCTGGGAGATTTCTGAGGACAGAGAAGTTCAGTTCCTATGTAAGTTGGACTAAGGTTAGGTCTGTGGAGGGAAGAGGCTAGGGGCTTCAGTTTCAATAAAAATTAAACACGCCTTTAATCTCAGCACTTGTGGAAGGCAGAGGCAGGCGGATCTCTGTGAGTTCGAGGCCAGCCTGGTCTACAGAGTGAGTTCCAGGACAGCCAGGATTGCTACACCGAGAAATCCTGTTTCGAAAAACCAAATAATAATAATAATAATAATAATAATAATACCATGCTTAAACTCTTCTTAGCATGCTGGGAAGGGATCCCAGAGTAAGAAAGGCCCCTTCTACTGTGTTACAATCCCAGCCCCAGTCTTTAAATCTTGGGGAGAAGGCATCTGGATCCAGCAATTTTAGGTTCTGGGAAATGAAAGCCAAGATTCTTATCCAGAATCCTGAGTGAGAAAGAGGCTGGGAACATGGACTCTTAGGTCCCAAGGAAAGACATCTCAATGTTTGTTAGGCCATCTCTGCACACCTGTGTCCACAGCGTCTCGCTCTGCAGGTGGTGGGTCCCAGGCTGGAGGTGGGCCACGGCCAGGACCCAACTGGTAGTGGCTGAGGAGATGGTGGAGCTGAGCAGGGGTCAGGGTTGGGTAGTCAGTCCTTAGGCTGCTCCAAGAAGCCTAGGGGAGGACCAAGTTAGAAGTATATGGTCAGCAGCTTCTCAGGAGACTGAGGCAAGAGGATTCAAAGTGCAAGGCCAGTTTGGGCAACATAATGAAACTCTATCTCAAGATTAAAAAGTAAAAAGAGGCCTGCAGATGTAGGGCAGAGCATTTGCCCAGCATGTATAAGGCCCCGGGTTTAATCCTCAATACTGCAATAAGATATAAATAACTGAAAATGAAGGCTCAGCAGTTAAGAGCACTTGCTCTTGCAGAGTCCCATTACTCACATAGTCTATAACTCAGTACCAGAGAATCTGTCTCCCTGTTCTGGGCTTCATGGAAACACATAAACACTTGCAGGCAAACACTCACACACATAAAAACTAATCTTAAAAAACAAGTGAAGGTCCAGTGTGGTAGTGCACACCTTCATCCCTGCACTCAGAAGACAGAGGCAGGCGGATCTCTGTGAGTTCAAGGCCAGCCTGCTCTACATTGTTCCAGGTCAACCAGCACTACATAATAAGATCTTATGGAGAGATGGCTCAGAGGTTGAGAGCATTGACTGCTCTTCCAGAGGTCCTGAGTTCTATTCCCAGCACCCACATGGTGGTTCACAACCATGTAATGAGACCTCTTCTGGTCTGCACACAGACATGCAGGCAGAACACTGGGTATATAATAAACCTTTAGAAACTAATATGATCTTTAAAAACAAAACATAAGGTTGTGTGATCGTCCTGGGTCAGCCTGCTCATCTGGAAACTGTCCGTTGACACTCTACTTCGAATGGGGTGCTTGTTGTCCCTACTGTCCCTAGCATGCAGTTCATATTCAACGAATGCTGAACCATCATTTTTCTCAGTCTCAAACATGTCTACGAAAGAGAAGGACTGTGGAGAACTATTTCTAGAAAGTTCCACAGGCATTCAGACATTTTTTGTTCAGTCATTCTTGATACTGACTTCTGTAGCTGTCTAGGGCTGGAGGTGACTTGGGGTCCCAGAGAGGCTGAATACAGAGGATGGCTGAGCTGGGTTGAGGGATCAAAAGTCAAGGTCTGGTAGAGCAATCAGGTCACCTTGAGCAAGGAGGTGCGGGGCACACACAGCAGGTTCACAGCAATGGAGAGTTTCCGGAAGAACTCGGTGGCAATGTCACCCAGCCCAGCCCCCTGCAACCAATCCAAAACGAGATCCAAGTTGGTTCTAATTTGGACGGCTCGAGACCATTGGTAGAAAGGTCGGCCTTGACCTGTGTAGAAAGGAATGAGAGGCAATGAATCGACCCACTTCCAAGACAGCCATCTGTTGGATTCGGTCTGGGTGGTTTCTGGCTGCTCCCAGCCCAACCCTCACCTCGTTCCATCAATGAGTTGAGAAGGGATGCATTGGAGAAGAAGAACAAGTAGCCAAAAGTCTGGGACACGAGGTCAGGGTGCAGCTCACACTGGCTGGTCAGTTCTAGAGCTGCCTGGAACACACCCAGGGTAGGCCTGAGTCCAGGAGGCATGGCCTCCAGCTCTGCACCAGGACCTGGAAGCTCTGCCCCAGCGGTGAAAGGGTTACTGTCCAGGAGAGCTGGCAGTGTTGAATAAAGAGTCTGGGGAGAGAGAAGCAAAAAACTTCAGGGTGACAGCAAATGAAAACAATGGGGAATTCCATCAAGGGCTTCTGGGAGTTGTAGTCCATTCTCCCTTCACCATGCCCATGGGGCTCCTGACCAAATCCCTACTTTGTAGATGGGTTTCTAGCAGGTAGTAGGTCTCATGGAAGAACTTGTCCTGACAATGTTTTCAGGAAGTAGCTTAGCTATTTTAAGAACACCTCTCATGAATTATGGCGTTTGTGGTTCTCACAGAGATAACGTAGGCACTGGATGAACTGTCTATCACGGAGATAGACAGGACATGGGACAAAAAGGGACCTCCTTCAGTTAAAGAAATACTTAACCAGAATTCCCAAAAGATATTAAAAGAATGGAGAGTCCAGAAGTAGGAGCTGGGTGGCAGCCAGCCAATGGAAAGGAGCAGGAAATGAGCTCAGTGACAAAGAATCCATTAAGGGTGTATGTGCCAAAAACATACAGGAAGTAAAGTCTCAGAGGGAAGGGCTTCATAATCAAAACCACTCCTGGAACCTATAGACTGTGCATTTGGGGAGATTCCCTCTTATTTTACAGATAGGGAATCAGGTATACCAGTGTCAAAACCCTGATTAGTTCAATCTGCAATATTAAAGTCAAAGGGGGGTGGATCAAGCCCCATAACAATACTTCAGTTACAAAGAAGAAAAGAAAATAAGACCTAGACTCCGAAAAGGGACGTGACGCCAGAGATGCAGGTGTCAGTGGTGTCAGAGTGCCAGAGTGTGTGATGCGCACGCACGCGCGCGCACACACACACACACACACACACACACACACACGCCTTAACAGTAAACTTCAAAAGCGCAAGCATGAAAAAATAGTGATCCATAGAGGAAATGAACTACTTAGCTGAACAAGACCCGGGGATAGCAAAGACAGGAAATGAACCAGAAAGGAAATGATGTCAGCCCAAACAGGAAGTAGTGTGACAAGAGCAAAGTACTAGGGTGAGATGGGAAGTGACCGCAGGGAAAGAGAAGTTTTAGGTCAAGAGGGAAGTGGTATCAGAAGAAGGCGGTGTCGGTTAAACAGAAAGCGAGGGCATTCCAAACGGGAAGCAGAAGCATGGCCCACCTTGGTGAGGTAATAGACAGACTGCTGGAAGGTACACATGATGACCTCATCCAGGAGGGCTAAGGCCTCATCACACAATTCCAAGTCATTGCAGAGCTGAGGGTCTGAGGACAGGCCTGGGAACGAGAGGGCAAGAGGCTGGCTAGAGCCCAGCTCTCTAGGTATGACGGGAGGGCAAAGAGGGCCTGGGTCCGAGCTCACCCTCCTGGTCAGCCTCTTTCTCCATCTCTAGAACTTTCTCCTGAACAAAGCTCAGCAGCTCTGTGGTGTTGGCCATCCACAGTAGGAGTGGTCGCAGCTCCACAGACACAGCCTCGGGGGTCAGAGGCTCCTCAGGAACTCCCTCAGGGTGGCTGAGGAAAGGCAGGGGTTCCTTTGACTCTTGCTCAGCCCTTAACATAAAGACTGACCACCAAGGCCTGAGTTTCCTCCACTAGCAGGCCTCACAGAGCCTGAACTAAGGCACTCTGGAGAGCCGAGCTCTAGTCCCAACCCCTTCAGCCTCCAGACCTGTGCGCCCCAGCTTTCTCTTACTTCTCTGGCTGACGGTCTCCGATTTCTTTAATCTTTTCCTGTAGAACAGCAAGATAAGAAGCAATGTAAGGAGGCTGGATGGAGGGATCAGAACTGTGCAACTTGCTTTGCCAAAAGTCACCTTTCTTGGGCTCGTGTGTGTTCAGTGTTTGCCTATTTGTGGTTCACAGGCATGCACGGAAGCCTGAAGTTGTGTTGGGTGTGTCCCTTTCTCCTTCTCCACTGCACTGAGGCAGGGTTCCCCTGAACCTGGAACCCGCTAACTGCATCTAGCCTAGCTAGCCAGCATGCTCCGGGGAACCCGGTCTCTCCCTTCTGGTTGCTGGGATTACAGGTGGCCACCATGTCTACCAGCTTTTACAAGGGTTCTGGGGATCTGAACTCCAGAGCTCAGGCTTCTGAGGCAAGTACTTCACCCGCTGAGACCATTTGCCCATACACACCTTTTTTTTTTTTTTTTTTTTTTAAGACATGTAGTACTGACTGGCTTCCAGCCCAATGCAATCCCCCTGCCTTTTGCCTCCCCCCAAGAGCTGAAATTACAAGGATATGCCACCACACCCAGCTTCGGGCCTTTTAAGTTTCTATTTCGAGACAGTATCTCACTAAGTTGCCCAGGCACTGGTCTTAAACTCTCTCTGAAACTCGGGCAGGCCTTGAATGTGTAATCTTCCTGAGAGCCTCTTCTGTGATGGAATTACAGGCCTGTGTCACCGGACATAGTTCTCCGATCCTAACTGTATGGTCACAAGTCACGTGCTCCCTTCATTTCTCTTCTGTTCAAATGGGGTTTCTTCTTGTCTCCAAGAAGACCTCTGACCTTCATGCAGTGAGACTTTTCCCCTCACTCTGGATAATTCTGTCTCAACAGTTCTACAGTGTTGGCCCACTGATGGGCCTTCCAAGTTCTTTGTTGTTACTATTCCAAGCTCCAGGCCCAAAGGGCTAACCAATGCAGTTCCCACAGTGACCTCTCCTAGGCTCTCATCCAATGGCATCCCTCCCCCCCTCACCCCCCCCCACATCCCAGAATGCTTTCCTCCATGATTCCATAGCTCCAAAGGGGAGATTGAGGCAGAAAGATCCCAAGTTCAAGACCAGTCTGGGCAATTAAGTGAAACCTTTTCTCAAAATAAAAACTAAAAAGAGGGCTGGGGGCGTGGCTCAGCAGGGCATGCTTGGCTAGAATCCCTCAGTGAGGGGCTGAGGATAAGGCTCAGCACTAGGGCACAGGCCCAGAATCCATCAGTGAGAGACCGGGGAGACATCCCTGCCATAGAGCGCCTGCCTAGCATGCCATAGGCTCGGGGTTCCATCCCCACTACTACTCAACAAATCTGAGTTACTTCTTGAAGCAGTGATGGAACCCACGGTTTCCAGAACCCTATGAGCGCCATTAGCTCAGCCCATCGCAAAGCTTCGTGGAAAAAGTAGTTTCTTCTCGCTCAAGGCCTGAACAGAGAGCTAGCCGGTTGAAGTAGGAGAGATACCTTGGACAACTTATAGGGAAAGGCAGGAATATGGCAGAAATGACCTGTGGAGCAGGTGGGTGGTTGATGGGAAAGACAGACTTGTGGGACAAGGGGCCCCGCTCACCCAAACGGCCTCTTTGATGAGCCGGGCCAGGCGGCCCAGCAGGCGCGGTAGATGGCCCAGCTCCAGCTCCCTCGCCGAATGCTGCACACAGAGCGCCAGCAGAGTGGCAGGCCCGAGCGGGGGCAGGTCCCCTGCGCCCGAGGCCGCAGCACGCACGATCTCGCCCAGCAGTGCCTCTTCCTCTCGTGGTCTGAACCTCAGCACCGGCTCGCGGCCGTCCAGGTAGGCGGCCAGCGCCTCTCCGCGCTCCTGCAGGCCACGGCCACACAGGCGACAGGAAAAGGCCCAGCCCGGCCCTGGTGGCGCGGCCCCGGGGCGCGCGGGTAGCCAAGGTGGCCGAGCAGGCCCAGAGCCCCCGGCGCGGGGGTCCTTGTACATAAACAAGAAATGCTCTCCCAGGCCCAGCAGGTCTCCGGGGTGCAGCTCCGCCTCGCGCAGTAGAAGACAGCCATTGTGCGTCACCGGGGCGCCCCGGGACGGGCGCACCATGGCCGGGGGCTCCGGGCCCGCGCGCACCGTGCAGTGTCGCGGCAGTATGTCTGGGGCGTTGAGGAAGGTGTCCACATATGGGGCTGGGGACCCACCGCGGGACGATGAAGGCCCACCTCGGCCGAACACGTGCTGCTCCCGGGTCATCACGTACACCACGAAGTCCTGGAGGAAAGCAGAGGGTGCTGCTGTGGCGATGGGCGTGTCCAAACAGCATCCTTACCCACACTAGACCCTCCATCACACCTCCTCTAAGGGATAAAAACCTCAAGGGAGGTTCCCTGGCTTCTCAAAGGACTCTTTTGAACATCCCTTGCCCATGAATAACCTCTTTCAAGACACTTCGTAGCTTCATCTTTGGGGGGAGCGCTTAGGAGTGGACAGCACCGCCACAGCGTTCGTATACAGAGAGGTCAAAGAGCAACTCGGGAATAAGATTCTCCTTCCACCATGTGGGTTCCAGGGATATAACTCTGGTCTTTAAGCCCACATGGTGGAAGTTAAAAAAAAGCAGTGGGTGCTTTTACCTGTAGAGCTGGCTCCACCCTTTAAAAAAAATAGACCGTTCACGGCTCAGCACTGGCCCGGGTTCGATTCCCAGCACCCACACTGCAGTTTATACCTGTCAGTAACTCCAGTTCCAGGGGATCTGACACGCTGACACCAATGCACATGAACTAATTCTACTGGCTCAAAGAGGTTCCCAAACAGACCGTTCCCCAGTGTACCATCTTCTCAACCGCTGAATGAACTGTGCCGCCTACAGTGGCTCCCGCAGCCACCCCACCCCCTTCCTATCATGGTATGTCCCATCACCCTCAAAGAGCACACCTTTCCAAGGAACCTGTCATCACCCCCAGAGCCCTGCTTGCCATCTCTTCAGTATGTTTTCCTTTCTGATAAGTTTCTCTCAGAATGGCCCCAAGCGAGCAATGGATGCCTTTACAGAAACACCTCATGAACCAAGAGGATTCATCCAATGAAGGTGTACTTTCAGGAAGACCCCTCTCTGCAATGGGCTTTCATTTTCCCCAAGGAAATACATGTCTACAATGGACTCATCCACGACCCCTTTCTCAGGTTGGAGCTCAAAGATTCTCCTTGTCCATTAATGGAAGCTCTCAATATTCCCCTCCAACGTGGGTATCTCCAGAGACTACCAGAGACAGTGGGCTCTTTTAGAAATGCTCACAGATGTGCAAAGAGGTACCCTTCTTATTTTACCCACTGAGTGGAAAGAGACATTGCAGAAGACCCTGCTCTAAAAGTAGTCCATTTAAAAATGGACGTACCACATGACCCCCTCCTCTAAAATAAACCTCCTGCTCATGTTCTAGTGGCCCTCAAATATGTAATACACAGAAACATGGCCTGGATGGCACAGGTATGTCATGCCAACTACTCAGGAGGCTGAAGCAGGAGGATCACACATTCAAGTCCAGCCTGGGCAACCACTGGAGCTCCTGTCAATAAGATAAAAAGCTGCCAAGAATGGTCCAGCAGTACACCGCCTGCCTAGAACCCACAGTGAAAGCTCGGGGGCTTTGCTCAGAGACAGAGCACTAGCCAGCAGGTGCAAGGGCCTGGGTTTAACCCCAATACTGCAAAAAATGAAAATGCATAAAGGCTTCAGTGCCTCCTGCCTCCATCAGCAAGGGGTCACATGATCCCCATGTGACCCTTTAGAAATGTATTAGCTGATTTCTCCCATCAAGACAGCTGCATTTCCAGAACAAGGATCTAGGCAAAGATTTCTCTGACCTAGGACGCAAACTTTCCTTCAAGAAACGGATGTTTGGGAGGGATGTCCTTTTGACAACAGACTGGCCTTTGACCACGACCACGTTTTTCTTTCCCCCTCTGAATGAAAGGAAGCATTTGCTATCCCCTCAAATGGGACCTTTGATTCTGACCTCCACCTCAGCTCCTACCAAGGTATCTCCTACAGGGAACTGCCATTTAATGGCGAGGGCCTCAACCCAAGGCATTCTTGGTAGTGTGGTTTTGTTGATCAACCATGTCTGATGTGGCTCTCTGACTAGGGGAGACAGGGCTAACCTGAGCATCCTGGTAGCCCTGGAGCAGAAGGAAATAGGGACGGTTGCTGGGTGCCTGAATGAGGCACTGAGTCAACTGATCGAAGTCTCCGGGGTCTGTTGGTGCCATCTGGGTGTCAGCTGCCCCAGGAGCCATGCTAAGTGCCTGCTGCCTGCGTTCCTGCCGGCGCCTCCGCCCCTGCAGACTCAGCTCAGACACACTGCGACGCAGGGACAAATTTTCAGATCGCTCCTTGCCCCCAGACCCAGTGGGGGTCCCTGATCCTGACCCTGGACCTGGACTAGCCAGGGCCGCCCCACCAGATGCAGCCCGAGACCGATTCTTCTGTGTTCGCCAAGATGGGGCGTTTGTGCCTACGGGGGAAATGAAAAACACAGAGGCTATTCTCTGGCTCTGGAATCCAACTTGAAGTTGTCAGCTTAGAAATTCATTATTTTACCAAGCATTTCGGAACTGCTCTACACCAACAGTGAAACTGTCCCCAGGAAACTGGAAACAGTCACCTCCCTAACGATGTTCCTTAGCAGTTCTTACACTCAGCACACAGTAGCCTCCCCATGGAAGGAGCTTAATGCAGAAACATGTTTTTCACTAAGCTTCTAAGATCTGAAAACTGGAAACTTTGTCCATGGACACCAGAGACCAAAATCATGTGTGACTTACAATGTGTGCTCAGTAAAGTTTTGTTTTGTTTTTTCCTGTTTGATCTGGTTGCCTGAGAAGGGATGAAAATGATTTCCATCCGTTTGAGTGATTACTGTTCATTTTATCTCCCTAACCTTTATTAAGCAGGTGCCATGCCCTTTATATGTGCTATTGCATTGAGTCTTCACCTACAACTTTGCCTGGATTATAAAAAGTAAAGAATGGATGGACTAGGCATGGTGGTGTACCTATAATTACAGCACTCGGGGCTGGAACATCAAGAACCGTATCTTGGTTAAAATAAAATAAGCTATACCTCTGTATTTCCCAAATGCAGAGCGAGGAAAGATGTCTCTTGAGGATGCTACTCTGCTCTTCCAGACTCTGCCTGTAACCCCTTCCCCAGAATAGCACTAGCAGTTGTCCTACTGGCCCCGCCCCCCTCCCCTGTACACCCACCCCATTCCTGCACGTCTAGTCCAGAGCCTTCCCACTCTGTAGGCCCGCCTCCAGCCCCTCCCAGAGGACGCCCGCCAGCCCTGCCAGCCATCGAGGGCGCTGCCTTTCATTCTGCAGGACCCGCCTCCTTCCCTTCCAAGCCCCGCCCTCGCCCCCGCCAGTCCAGGGCCAAAGCGGTCATCCTCCTGGCCCCGCCCCGAGCCCCGCCCCGAGCCCCGCCCCGCGGCCCCGCCCACACGGCGCTGCCCTCCCCGGCTCACCGTCGGCGTCCGCCGCCCCGAAGGCCTCTTGCTCCAGCCGGCGCGCCTCCTCGCGGCCACGCAGCTCGAAGCGCCGCGCCCAGCCGGGCCGCGCGCGCCACAGGTCCTGCACCAGCAGGGGGCGCTCGGCGTCGGCCAGCACGCGCAGGTGCTCGGCGCGCCACTCGCCGCCGCCGCCCCCCGCGGCCGGCCGGCCCAGCGCGTCGCACAGCGCGTAGGCGTCCACGCAGCCGCCGTCCCCGGCTCCGCGGCCGCCCGCCAGCCCGTAGCGCTCCAGCGCCTCTGCCACCAGCTCGCGCGCGGTGGATCGCTCGGTGGCCAGCACGCTCTTGTAGTTGGCGCCCGCCGCCAGCCCCGCCGCGAAGATCTTGAGCACGCCCGGAGGCACGGCGGCGCGCGCGGGCAGCGGCGGCTCCGGGGCTACACCGGCCGCCAGCTCAGGCAGCTTCTTCTCGCTGGCCCAGCGCTGCGCACCCCCGGGCGTGCCGGGGCCCCCGGCACCTCCGGCCCCCGAGCCCCGGAACAGCTGCGAGATGCGCTTGGCTCGGCTGCCCGACGCGCCGCCCGCCGCCTTCACCGCGCCCACGCGCCGCAGCTCCACGTGCGGCGGCGGCGGCGGCAGGGGCTCGCTGCTGCGGCTCCCCGTGTCGGAGGACGAGGACCTGGGGAGGAAGAAGTGGGCAGGCAGGGCGCGGCAGGGACAGAACGAGACCGAGAGACAGACGGAAGGCGGACGGGCAGACCCAGGGCCAGTGACCCCCGAGAGAGGGGCCCAAGATGCAGAGAAAGCGAGAAAGGGAGAGGGGGGCAAAAACTCAGAGACAAAGACCCAGAGAGGGGACAGAGACAGGAGGTGGGGGGTGGGCGACAGAAGAGCGAGACGGTGGGGTGGGAAGGACGGAGGTAAGAGAGATCGATGTGATATAATTAATAAAGACATAACCCTTGAGAGGGAATTCCAAGGAGAACAGAGGGCAGGAAGGGAAATGAATCAAATCCCTGAGCCCTACCTAGCGTTTTACCCCAGTGTCCGTCCCGCCGACCCCATGTCCTGGCCTAGCTCGTCCCTCCCTAGATGTCACTGTCCCACTGCCCCCCCCCCACGCCACCACACACCCGCAGCGCTTCTGCTTAGGACAGGAGCCACTGCCCACCTTTGTAGGGTCCCTGGCATGATTCGGATAAACAGGGACAGATGGCGGACATGCCACTAGAGGTTGGCCACTTACTTGACAGAGGCAGCGCTGGGCCAGCGCCGCCCCAGTTTGGCTAGCTGCTTCCTTGGGGAATTGATCCACAGGCCCACTGGGAGATGAAGTTTCCCAAAGCGGGGGCTTCCGCCCTCCTTTCGTTCACCAGATAGCATGGCCCTAAGGGAAGAGGGTAAGGCCCCAAACCCTAAGGCCACAGGAGCCGGGTGGGAACGGGAGAATGACTTCTGGCTCCTGGATCCCAGGGAGGTGGAGGGGTGGGACAAAGAACTCCCAGGTCCCTGGATGGGGCATTGCTGTGGCTCTTACCCTACTTCGGGTCCTGTAGCACCCGGAGGCCCTGATGGCGTTGGCCTCCGTTAACTCCCAATCCCTCTGAAAAGTGTTTTCCTCTGCCCCAGCTCCCAGCACTGGGTGGGGGACAGGAAAAGGCAAGAGGAAACCCGGCAGGAAGAGCGGGGAGGGGGCGTCCTGTGAGGAGACCAGGCCTTGGGGGAGGAGATGGGGCAGGGCTGGGCCCTGGCCTATGCCTTGATTCTGGGCCCACCATTTATGGGGCCCCTGCAGAGGGAGGGCCCCATGGTCCAGCTTCTCCCTCCTCAGGCGGGGGCATCCAGACCTCCTCTCTTGGAGCCAGAAGTCAGGACCAGTCCCCAAGACTAAGGCAGATACTGAGACAACAGGTCAAATCTTTATTGGCTTTCTGACTCCTCCTTTTCCTCTGTCTCCTCAGGGACACTCTCGACCTCGGGCTCTGAGGGCTGCGATCCTGCCGGTAGGGACGGCTCCAGCAGGAAAGAGGACCTCTCCAGCTGTATCGACTTGAATTCCTTCGCCCGTGATGACTTGTCTAAGTTTGAGGTCTTCGTTTTAGCTCTATCTTTCCTAAAGTAAAGTATCCTGGGGTAAGACAAAGGTGCATAGAGCCACATTAGATCATGGGTTAAGTGAAGTACACTCTTCCCTAGACCCCCACAGACCTAACCTAGCAGTTTACACACGCTTTGTCCTAAGTGAGATCCCAAGGAAGGTAGGTGCCCAGTAGCTTCCTGTCCTCTGCCAGCCCTGGATTGCAGGAAGCCCCGCCCTCCACCCCAGCCCAGCTCCCTCCAAATCACTCTCCTCCATAAAGTCCTGCCCCTTCATTGAAGCCTCATCCATCCGTCCAAGCCCTTGTCCACACCCTTCTATTCAATCTCCTCTCCTAACCCAAGATTACACCTCCATCCAAATCCTGGCTCTTCCTTTTAAGTCCCGCTCTTACCCCCCCCCCCCACACACACACTCCTGTCCAAGCCATGCCCCCTCCCAAAGCTCTTCTCTTGTCCAAGCCTTTACCCCACTGCAATCCAAGCCTCTACCCTTCACACAAGTCCACTTCCTTTAAGGCCCTCCCTCCCTCCAAATTTCCCAGCGGACGGCTCACAAGGCAATGATGCTGGCCACCAGAACTATGAAGCCAAGGATCAACAGTATTAAGAGTCGGTGTTTCAGATTTCCTTCTGGTTTCGAATGGTCCATCGGAATTATGGACACCGGGGTCTCTGCAATCACCTGGCCAGGGGCCTCCTCCTCCTGGGTTATGATGTTTGGTGGTGGTTTTTCCTCCATTGCCCTTTGTGGTAATACTGGCAGAGGAGAGCCAAAGGGTAGTCCTGGCTTCAGCTGTGAGGAGGGCGCTTCTGCCCCCACAACCCTAGCCTTCTCTAGAGGGTGGGTGCACACCAGTAGGTCCAACTGAGGCCTACAGCAGCTGCTCACACCTCCATGACCAGAAAGCATGTCTCCTGAGGGAAGCCTTGCCTCTCAGTACAGACCCTGGTTATAGCCAAAGCCACACAGCCCCAAATGAGGCCATGCCCACAGGAGATCAAATCCCATGGGTAAGGCCACACCCATGGGATTCTGCCATCCCGAACGCCACTTTCTCAACGCCTCAGACTGACCTATGACACGAAAATGGATAATAGTGGCAGGGCCAGCATTGATGGTTCCCAGTTCGCAGCGGTAGTTGCCGGCATCCTCTGGACCCACCATCGTCTTGGTCATGTAGGGTTCTTTCCCCTTGGACATCAAGGTCTCAGAACTGTTCCCCCAAACCTAGACCCAAGCTCAAGGGGTCACAGAGGCCTGGGGAATTTGGGGACTGGGGGAATAGAGGGGTGAGGTCACGGGGCCTCGGTGCAGGGAAGGCAGGAATCAGGAGTACTGATGGCCCTAATCCTCACAGGAGGCAACATAGATCCCCCTACCCTTTGTGCTGGGGTGGCTAGGATGGGAAGGGCCCTGGTCAAGGAGTGGGGCCTCTGCGGGGATCAGTAGAGGCCACGAGGGTCGAGTTCAGGGGCTCACACAAATCTAATAGACATAGGGGCAAGGACCGCAGGAGTGATGCTCCCACCCTGTAAAAACTGTAATCCGTAAGTCCCTCAGAAGCGTGATGCCAACTGAGCTGGCAGTCCAGGATCATGTCTTCCAAGCGATGCACCTCTATCCGGCGCTCTGTGCGAAAGGAGGGGGCTGCCGCTACTTCTGGAGGAGCCCTGCAGTGCATGCGTGTGCATGCGTGGCTGCCCCTCTTCTAGCCCCACCCCTCGCCCTTGAGCTGGGGGATGTGCTCACCCCCGCAATCCATGGATTTCCGACAAGAGTGGATCTGCTTCTCACACCTATTGCACCAGATCAGAGTCTGCAACATCGTGCCTGAAGGGCGAAGGTCAAAGTTGTATTCTCCCACTAGGAGGTGGGGGCGAAAAGGAGAATTTGGCAAGGGCCGGGGCAGCTGTTTGCACCAAGTGTCTGGGTTGTTTGTGCCCCCACCGAAACTTGTAAGGAGTGCAGGAAACACCCACTACCTAAGAAAACCTGGCGGTCCAGGGATAGCTCAAATGGAGGAGAGTAACAATCACCCGTCCTGGGGGAAGGCTCATGGGGCAAAAGAAACAGATGCATGCTACACTCACCACATTGGTTGGGACAATAAACTGCCTCCGAAGGGGGAAAGGGGGGAGGGAAAGAGAAAGAAAATCACATTTGTTTTTGTTTTCAGAAAGGAGTCTGCTATAACCCAGGCTGGTCTCAAACTTTACTTCAATGAGGATGACCTTGAACAGTTTATCTCTTGCCTCCACCCATCAAGTCCTGTGATTAAACAAACTGTGTCAGCATCTCAGCACGCGGCCCAAGGTTGCCACAAATTCCCCTGCCTCAGCCTCGCAAATGCTGGGATTACAGGTTTTGCTACCAAGCTCCAGAGGATAATTTCCTTCTAAATTAATGGGAGTGGATGCTGAGCAGAGATCTGAGATTTAGGAGCTTTTAGGCAGTAGGGGACGGACCTGGGGAAAGTGTTCTTGAGGACATGGATGGAGAAGAGGGTTAAGGAAGCTGATGGCTCGGGCCCTGGACTTTCATCTCCCTCACCTTCTTTTTGGAAACGCGTGGCAAGAGTGGCGAAGATGTCCTTTTGCAAACGGAGCATCCAGAATAATTCCTTTACAAAGAGCTCTCCTAGGAGGAAGCAGAGCCAGGAACAGTGCTCCCCAGACTCAGGTGTGAGGTACAGTAAAGCACTGCATATACTACAGACACTACTCCAAGTGGTCTCAGACTCACCCTGTAGCTGATCTTTCTGTCTCCACCTGATCTAAGCATGCATCAGCATACCCAACATCCTGCCTCTTATTTATCTAACTATGTATTCCCGCTGTCCTAGAACTTGCTGTACACACCAGGCTGGCCTCAAACTCAGAGCTCTGCCTGCCTCTGCCTCCCCAATGCTGGGATTAAAGGTGTGGCCACCAGCTCCACTCTTATTTGCTTGACAGGCACCACGTTGCCCAGGCTATTCTGGAACTCTGGGTTTAAGCAATCCTCCTGCTTCAGCTTCAGTCTGAGTAGCTTTAAGTCCAGGGATGGCCCACCGGTCTTCGCTGGCATTCCACATCTAGCCCTTCAGGGGAGAACTATAAAATGGCTGGGCCACAGGGCTATGAAATGCACACCTGCTCATTCTCTTAATCCTCACAGCTACAGAGAAAGGGAGACAATTGTGGTCTCCACATTAGGGCTGAGGAAGATGCCCAGCCTCAGGTTCAAGGCCACATGGCTAGGAAATGGCAGAGCCATGATGGCTCTCAAGCAGAGGCTTGAAGCTTTAAGAAACCAGCTACGGTTTCTCAGGGGCTCTGTCCTCATCCTCTGGTACATTTACCTTTTACATCACTGTCCGTGATACGTTTCAGATCCTTCAGAAAACTCCAGGATGCCTGTTCCAGTGTGTCCTCATCTGTGTGTGGAGGACAGATACAGAACCCCAGAGTCCAGCTTTTTGGTCTCATTGGCTAGTCACCACATAGAGACTACAATACCCATGAGGCCATTGGGCAAACTGCTCATTGCCTTATGGGAGTTGTAGTTTACCACACAACTTGCTAGAGCCAATATTGTGAGCTATGAGGAGGGACTCCATGATTCTGTATTCCAAGACTTTTCCATTCTTTCTTCTTCTTCTTTTTCGAGACAGGGTCTCCCTATGTAGACCAGGCTGTCCTTGAACTCACAGAGATGTAACTACCCAAGAGCATCGACCACTAGGCCTAGTGAATTTTCCATTCTTAAACTCAGTAGCGACTATGTCAGGACTTCTGGCCCCAGCCCTTCCTCTCCCAGGACCCCGAGGTCTGCATCCTGGCCTGCCCTCCTTACCCACAGCCCCCACATAGGAATCCTTATTCAAAGGCAGATCCTTGAAGTCCTTCACCGCCTGCTCTACCCTCTTCATTACGTTTTCGTGATGCTCGGGTGCCAGGTGGCCAGGCAGGTAACTCTGCTCCAAAGTCTTTAGCGCGGCCACTACAAACGGGTCACATATGATGCAGGGCCTCGCCGGACACAGGCAGTCGGCCAGAGCAGCCAACAAGAGTGTAAAACGCGGCCCCATGGAGGCCAGAGCGCACAGCTCGCCAGCACCGCCAGAGGATCCTCACCCCAAAACGAGGGCGGGGGGACGCTAAACAGAAGCCAAAAGACAGTCTTAGAGCATTCCAAAGCTCAATACGAGGGTCTCTGGGAAATTTCCAAGTAAAAAGGAGATATCATTAATTAAAGACCCAAAATATGAATTCGGACCCCCCCCACCACCACCGCAGCACAGAAGAACTCAAATTTTAGGGTCTTCGTTGCATTCCTGCAAACTATTAAACCATCCCCAACCTCTCTCCATTCAAATTTCAAACGCATGGGTTTACTCCCCAGCTCCCCCAAATTCATATAATTCATAACTCTGAACCTGGGTCAACGTTCAGACTCTCAAGCTCTGAAAACCCCGAGGCACAGCAAACTACACAGTCAACAGTCAAAGCCAGATAAACCATCAAAAGCTGGGGCACTGGCACTTGGGAGACTGAGGCAGGAAGAGGAAATGAAGACCACCGTGACCTACTTGAGACTCTCTCCAAATTAATTAAATACATAAGTAAATAATTTGTCTAATAAATAACCAACTTGGAAACTATCAAACTAAAAAAGTCTTCAAAACAAAAATTATCCTAAATCCTTGAGCATGAAGGTCCTACAAAAACTTCAACATGCCTCCAAAGCCATCCCCCAGTTTCTGGGCTCCTGTCGACTCTCCCTCGCGACTGAGACCCCTGACCTTCCGGACACCCTCTTCTCAGGCCCCAGTACCTCTTTAACAGCCGCTCAACTTCGTGCCCTCAAGCGCTAATGCTTCGCCCAGATTCTTTCTCACGACTAAGATTAAGTTTTTCTTGGAAGACTGGGGAGAAGAATTTAGGGTTTTTCTACTGGTTCCGAGAGTCACCGGTCGTCCCCTCTTCACAAAACACTTGGGCCACATCCCACTTGGGGGACCCTAAGTCCCTTAGAAATATTTCTTAGGACTCTCCGGCCCCGCCCAGAAGTTCAACTCTAAGTTTGATTGGACTGCAACAAAGCAGACCCCGCCCGCCCCTCCATGACGTCACAGGGTGGCAGCCCTTTCGTAGAACTTTCTCAGCACCTGTGGAATGGAAGCGGCAAACGTGCTCTTCATTGTCCCCCAAGTTTCCGGCAGGAAGCCCTCTGGCTGGTAGAAACCTTGGCATCCAGATAAGAAGATGCGGTAAGTGGCTAGTCTTAAACTGGGACTACAACTCCCAGAAGGCACTGGAGCTTCTCTCTTTCCCTGTGACCAGTCCCACAGCATGGGAAACATAAATAGTGATACTCTTCTCACCTCAAACCTAGATAAGTAGAGGCCTGGATCCAAGCATGGTGACCTACACGTGTAGTCCAGGCACTTGAGAGGCTGAAGCAGGAAGATTGCCACGAATTCCCAGCCAGACTGGTCTACACAGTGTGTTCTAGACCAGCCTGGGCTACAGAGACCATCTCAAAATAAGACAAAACACAAAAGAGGTCTGGTGGCCAATACTGACGTTTGCAGAGACAGGTACTAAGGGAAAACGGAGAGACAAACCTAGCAGCAAGGGTTGCCAGATGTATGTGCAATATCCATGCGCCATGAATGTCCCCAGTAGACAGACACACAGACACACACACACACACACTCACACGCACACACACGCGCACACACACACACACCACCCGTGCACTCGCAGCGCACAGACAGCTCCAAAAACTCCAAATCCATGGATTGATTGCTGACGTGGCCCTTTAATTCACAGCTCCCTCTCTCCAGCCTGTACAAGCCGAATTGGGAAGAGGTACCCAGAAACTCCCTGAGAATTGGATTAGATTAAATGCTGAGGGGAACCATCAAGGACATCTGACAGCTCAGTCAAACAGCCGTCCTTCTGGATCTGAGGCTGCGGTCCTGCAGGGCCTTGAGCTGGGTTCAGAGGTCTGGAACACCTTCAGAAGCTTCCCCTGGACCTTCTCAAAGCTGGATTTAGTACCTTTGTGAACCCAGGGACACACCCTTGTTTTCTGTAGGCCTGGTCACTTCGGGGAAACAGACCCCGGGTCCCCTGTAGCATCAGAGAAGAAATCTCTTTGACCCTAAATTCAGGACTAATCTATTTCCTTAAAAGTTTAAAAGTTTCCAGCTCCAGGCGCCCAGGAGGCTGGTGAGTCAGCAGTTTCTTCATCTCCATAATTCAGAAGTTCTAAGAGGATGAGCTGGGTGGAGAGAGAACTGTGTCTCACAGGACTAACCTGGACTTCAGCCATCAGACAATGATGTTCTGGCGGAACATCAGGAGAACATTCCAGCATTTCCAGAAAGCCCTTCATCTCAGTGTCCAGAAATGAGTGCCCACCAGCTCCTGGACTACCACAGACACATTCCAAAGCCACGGACCTCTAGAGACATGGATGGTTGACTTTAGAAGGTTCAGACCAATCTTAAAAGACTGTCTGACTCCCAAGGGTTAACCGGAGCCTGAAGTGGGGACAGGTCAGCGTTAATGCCCACCCACTCGGGCAGGAAGGCAGCCTTGGGCCTGAAGATCTTCAGAAACTCTGAATCTGGCAGGGTGAAGTTGGCAAGATACACAGTGTCTCCACCAGCTAAGTAAGCAGCCCAGAAGCCAAAGGTGCCGACAGTCATGATGGTATGGTTGCACTGTGTGAGCAGTGCGAAGTCTCTCCCTGGTGTACTCTCCCGTCCATTGCCAGCAAAGACCACATCCCCATGAGACGTGTCGATGTTCTCCACACACCATTCCATGCCATTGCTGGTGACCACAAAGATGGGGTCCTTGTGTCGGGCCCGGAACCAGTCCATGGCTTGCTGGAGGTAAGCCTGGTCCCCCACTACACCCTTCCATCGATTGGGCATCACCTCCAGATAGTCTCCGCGACGCACATGGACACCCACAAAAGTGTGAGGGCGGAGGCCTGAGGGGCCTAGCCGGAGCCCACTCAGCATGTGCTGGGCACCCTCCCGAAGGTGGTCGTGCAGGGTGAACTCCTTGCGGATCTGTTCCCGGAGATGGTGGAAAAAGGTCCAGGAGCACGGGAAACCGGACAGCTTGAGAAAGGGGTCCTGCAGGCGGGAGTACTCCTCTGACATCCAGTCATGGAGCGCTAAATGCTGCCAGGGGGTGAGGCTGTCCACCTCAGGGTCCAGCACGGGCAGGGAGATGCGGAACACAGGGGCCAGGGTGGCATGCATCTCAGGCTGAATGAAAGCTGGGCGGCCGTTGAGCTGAGCCAAGGCCAGCAATGTGGCATACTGCCCCATCTGGTTCCCGAACCTGCCTGCTGGGGAGATGGTCCAAGTCCCAGAAAGCGAGGACGATTGTCTGGGGCAGGAAGGGGAGGCATTGAATGTCTGCAATGGGCGGGGCAGGCACACCATGGCCACTGGGGACTTCAGCAGGTGGTAGTCTGGACACAGGATAGAGAGAGTTAGCTCACTTCCAAAGAAGTTTCCTCCGCGCAGCTGGAAAAAGAAGGAGCCGGTGGAGAGCACACAGACCAGCAAGAAGGCCAGGCAGAGCTGCCTCCGGCTGGGGGTCCACATGGCTGTAGGGGGGAAAGGCGGATTAGCAGGCGCATGAGGTGAGGCCCAGAATCTGGGACTCCTCCAGCTCTGGGAGCTGCAGTGAGCATCTCCTCGGTCAGAGGCTGAGAGCCTAAACCCAGCCTGGTAAAGATTTGAATCTCTAGGGATGGGGTCAGGAGACATGCAAATAAATGAGTGGCTGCAAGTCTGGGAGAGCAGGACCTGCTGGGAACTTCATCCCAACGGCCTTCTTCTCAGGAGCACCTGAGTGCACGGGCGCTCTCTACCCATGCAGGCTGTAGTTGGGGACCAGGGGAAGCCCGGTAAGGAGGAGGACTTTAGAACTGAAAAGCAAGCCCCCCGGACGTTGTGTAACTTTCCCTAAGAGCCAGAATAAACATCGGTTTATCCCGCATACTAAAGAAACGTTCAACCCAAGTCTGCCCCACTTGGTGAACACAAAAGCTGGGGTGAATCCAAGGCAGATACACAGCTGAGAAACCCTCAGCAAGCATCCCCGGAGGAGCCTGGTGGACCTTGGAACTTGCTAAGAACTGGTTTAGTTTCCTGAGTCCAGAGCCGTAGCAGGAGGGAAGGGGTTCTCATGGGGAGAGGCAGGGATAGGATTCCAGGTTTGGGGGTTGGATTCCAGGTTTTGAGAAAGACCGGGATAGGGTTAGAGTGGTCTAGATGCCCTCGTCATCCCTGGGGGTCTGGCTTGCCCGTGCCTACTAACCTGAGGTCCGTGCCTACTAACCTGAGGTCCGTGCTGGTGGTATAAACGGATTCTTTTAGCCTGAACTTCCAGTCCCCAAATAGAGCCTTCATCGGCCACGCTTGGAGTTCAGGAGCCCCGGCTCCGCAGCCCTTCCCGCTAGGCTTCCTTCCCGCAACCGACTGAGAGGGCTGAGGGCTTGGAGACCCGGAGGGAGAGAGAGAGAAAGAAAGGCTGGCAGCCTTTCCAAGGCGCGCAGCCTCCGCCCTTCGGGCCGGGCAGGTAACAGGAGGCGGAGCCGCATCCTACCTGGCTCCTCACCCCAGCGTTCGGGTGAGGGAGGCACGCCTCCGAGGTGGATTGCCGCCATGCCCCTTGTCCCTTCCTCTCGGATCACTGACACTACCTACGATGGACAGCCCAGCTGGCCCCCAGAAGTTGCCGCAAATTCTGCATGGACCCGGGGACTTGGGCCCCGCTCGCTGCAAGGCTGAACCCGGGAGCTCAGGTCCCAGGCACGTTTCCTTCTCCGGTGCCGGGACTTAGCGCCTGCTCCCCTTATCAGGATGCTCTGGGAGTAGCCACGCCCCAGTGGAGCAAGGTCTGGACTCCCGCCCCCTCCTCCAACCCCGCCAGCTGCACCCTCCCAGCAGGATGGAGAACCTGTTTGCCAGCTGCCTCAGCCCAGGCCCGAGCCTCTGCCCATAGCACACCACACGGTCCTTCCCCCAGCTCCCTCTTTGGGACTATCCTAAAGTCTGGGGTCCAGCTGCCATTTTCTAGACTGGCAAACAGAGCAGGTAACCGTGAAGAGGTGGAGTTGTCTAATGTTCCTTCTGGGCAGGCTGCTGGTGTGTCTGGGGACAAAGGCCTTAGCTCTCCTGTCCTGAGTCTTTAATTGTCCAGAGTTGGCCGCCCCACAGCCTCGCCCTTACCTGAGCGTTGACACCCTACAAAGACTCAGGAATTCCATGTGGCTGGCCCAAGATTAGATCATTTCTCCAGGCTCCCAAGGCCCAGGCCCGCCTCAGACCTAAAGGTTTATTGCCCAGCCTCCTCCCTTAGACTCCCTCAGTCCCAAGGGCCCTGCTCAGGCTTCTTCCTTCTAACCCAGGAATTTGCCCCAGCATGTCTTTGCAAGAGCTCATCCAGCTCTTCCTCCTCACAGAGCCTGGCTGGGTAGGAAAGATAGGATGATGTTCCCATCCCCCAGGGGTGTTTGGGGAGCACCGTGCAGAGCAATCTCTGGTGAAAGAAGTACCAGGATTGCATCAGGGAGGGTGACATCAGGGAGGGTGGCAGATGAGCCCAGCATCTGAATGCTAGGTTGGGCTTGGTGAGTGGCCCACCGCCAGCTGGGAGCTGTCCACCTGCAGACTCCTCTTTCATGCAACTGATGCAGCTTTCCTGCCGATGAAAGCCTCAGACCCCAACACCCTTGAACCTTGAAGTTCAGATAGGATGGGCTACATAGCTCAGCTACTTACACAGAAAGTCTGAGGTCCAGGGATCCTTGGTGCCTGGAAGGCAGACCCCAGCCTCCTCCCTCAGACCCAGGAACCAGACCCCAGCCTCCTCTCTCAGACCCAGGAACCAGACCCCAGCCTCCTCCCTCAGCTCTAGGAGTGCAGACCACAGCCTCCTCCCTCAGACCTAGGAACTAGACCCCAGCCTCCTCCCTCAGCTCTAGGAACCAGACCCCAGCCTCCTCCCTCAGATCTAGGAGTGCAGACCCCAGCCTCCTCCCTCAGATCTAGGAGTGCAGACCCCAGCCTCCTCCCTCAGATCTAGGAGTGCAGACCCCAGCCTCCTCCCTCAGACCCAGGAACCAGACCCCAGCCTCCTCTCTCAGACCCAGGAACCAGACCCCAGCCTCCTCCCTCAGACCTAGGAGTAAAGACCACAGCCTTCTCCCTCAGCTCTAGGAACCAGACCCTAGCCTCCTCCCTCAGATCTAGGAGTGCAGACCCCAGCCTCCTCCCTCAGACCCAGGAACCAGACCCCAGCCTCCTCTCTCAGACCCAGGAACCAGACCCCAGCCTCCTCCCTCAGACCTAGGAGTACAGACCACAGCCTCCTCCCTCAGACCCAGGGTCCATGCCCAGTCCTTTCCTTCAGACCCCTATTGGAAAGACCCCCCCCCAACCCCCCATCCCCATTGCATCATCCGTCCAGGCTGCCCTGGCCACGGTGGAATTCAGGTTTCTGCCAAGTGTGTCAAATATCACGCGTCAGGAGTGGGGAGGGCACGTGGGCGGGCCTGTCTGGGTATAAATTCTGGTACTGTGTGTCTTGTCAGCTGGGGATTCATCGGGAGACACGGGCATTCATGTCTCTACCTGGATCTGCCCTGCTGGGACACCCAAGTCAGAAGCCAGCCCCAGTCAACCGCTCCTCAGACTCCTCAGGGTCCTTCCTAGGTTCATTACTGATGGACTGGACGAAATCTGGAGTTGGGGTCCTAGGACCGTGCATCCCTCTGCTGGCCATCTTCCTGCTGGGGATCTCCCAGGCACACCCCATCCCTGACTCCAGCCCCCTCCTCCAGTTTGGGGGCCAAGTCCGGCACAGGCACCTGTACACAGATGACGACCAGGACACTGAAACCCACCTGGAGATGAGGGAGGATGGCTCAGTGGTAGGCACCACACACCGCAGCCCAGAAAGTGCGTGTTGTGAGAAGGCTGGGGTCCTGGGTCCTCCCAAGTGTGTCCAGATCCTGATTGTCTTTGGGTTGTCTTCACAGGTCTCCTGGAGCTCAAAGCCTTGAAGCCAGGGGTCATCCAAATCCTGGGTGTCAAGGCCTCCAGGTTTCTTTGCCAACAACCGGATGGAACCCTGTACGGATCGGTGAGTCCTTTTCTGTTGTCCGCCCTCAGAGGCCCCAGGCTTAAAAGCAGGGTGTATGTTTAGCGCATTCTCTCTTGGCCGTGGGGTCTTGTCTGTGTTTGCAAGAAGAGGAAACGGAGGCCCGGACAGGTCACCAGTGACTTCAAGTCCTGATGTCTGTGAAGGGCCGACTAGCCGGTGGAGAGGCCAGGTGTCAGGACTGTAGCCTTGTATGTGACCACGTGAGCTCCCACAGGTTCTGCCCCTGCTGACAGAAAGACGTTCTGGTACCCATGACCGATAAGTACCCCACTAGAGGTGGTAGGCAGACTGCCAACCCAGACTCGGGAAAGTTGAGGGAGGAGCCTGGGCCTTACCCTGCTAGTCTACCGACAGAGAGGGCTGGGACTGGACCCCAGGGGTGAGGGCGGTCGCTCCAGGTCTGGGTCTGAGAGAGGACTCTGGGGCTGGACCCTGGAAATGTGCTGTGAGTCTCTAACTCTTCCTTTGCCCCCAGCCTCACTTTGACCCTGAGGCCTGCAGTTTCAGGGAGCTCCTGCTTGAAGATGGATACAATGTGTACCAGTCTGAAGTTCATGGCCTGCCCCTGCGGCTGCCCCCGAGGGACTCTCCTAACCAGGCCCCTGCAGCCCCGGGGTCGGTGCGCTTCCTGCCGGTGCCAGGACTGCCCCACCAGCCGCAGGAACTGCCAGGGTTCCTGGCCCCAGAGCCTCCAGATGTGGGCTCCTCTGACCCACTGAGCATGCTGGGGCCTTCCCAGGGCCGAAGCCCCAGCTACGCTTCTTGAACCTTCTGACTCTGGGGAGTGTATCTTTTTTGGGTTTCTTCTTATTTATTGTGGGTATTTATCTATTTATTTTAAAATTTTTCTTACTTGGGACAATAAAGAGTCTGAAAGATAAATGTGTATTTAAGGAGTGAAACGTGTTTCTTTGACTGTGAGACCCTCAAGATGCCACCCTACACTGGGCACCCTTTTCCAACATTCCCAACACCACAGCCCGTGGTCGCAGTTCAGAACTGTTCATCAAAACCACCTCAGTATTCGGGACTTTGGTTTGTTGTTGTTTTGTAGGACACTGCCATCCCACAGTCTTGTGAAAGAGGTAGATGTTGATAAACTCTGTTTTTATAGTATTTCATTTGTGTGTGCAAGGTGGCAGGCATGTGCCACAGCGCGTGTGTTATGGCTCAGAAGACACGCTTTTAATCCCAGCACTCAGGAGGCAGATGAGGGCAGATCTCAGTGAGTTCTGAGTTCGAAGCCAGCCTGGTCTACAGAGTGAGTTCCAGGACAGCCAGAGTTGTTACACAGAGAAACCCTGTCTCAAAACAAAAGCACACAAGAAAGAGCCAGGTTCTCTGCTTTCCGGTGTGGGATCTGGTGGTTCTAACTCAGGCACCAAACCAGGTGCCTTTGTCAGCAAAGCCATCTCAGCGGCCCCCAAGTGCGTTTCTTAAAACCTCATAACCTCATCTTAGGGTCTGGGATGGCTTGGTTTTTGTTTTGGTTTTTGGTTTTTGGTTTTTGTTTTGTTTTTGAGACAGGGTCTGTTACTCACTATGTAGCCCTGGCTAGCCTGTAACTCACTATGTAGCCCTGGCTAGTCTGTGACTCACTATGTAGCCAGGGCTAGCCTGTGACTCACTATGTAGCCCTGGCTAGTCTGTGACTTACTATGTGGCCAGGGCTAGCCTGTGACTCACTATGTAGTCCTGGCCAGCCTGTGACTCACTATGTGGCCAGGGCTAGCCTGTGACTCACTATGTAGCCCTGGCTAGCCTGTGACTCACTATGTGGCCAGGGCTAGCCTGTGACTCACTATATAGCCCTGGCTAGCCTGTGACTCACTATGTGGCCAGGGCTAGCCTGTGACTCACTATATAGCCCTGGCTAGCCTGTGACTCACTATGTGGCCAGGGCTAGCCTGTGACTCACTATGTGGCCAGGGCTAGCCTGTGACTCACTATGTGGCCAGGGCTAGCCTGTGACTCACTAGGTAGCCCTGGCTAGCCTGTGGCTCACTATGTGGCCAGGGCTAGCCTGTGACTCACTATGTAGCCCTGGCTAGCCTGTGACTCACTATGTAGCCCTGGCTAGCCTGTGGCTCACTATGTAGCCAGGACTAACCTGTGACTCACTATGTAGCCAGGGCTAGCCTGTGACTCACTATGAAGCCAGGGCTGGCTTCAAAACCACACCGATTTACCTGCCTCTGCCTCCCTAGTGCTGGGATTATTAGTGGGCACAGCCACAGCCAAACTGTGTTTCTAGGTAAAGTCACACCCACAGTGGCTGGGTCTAGGGAATTAATGCGTGTTTTTGAAGGGACACATCTCTTTTCTGTTTCCAGTACTGAAGATGGAATCACGGGCTTCTTCTTGCTAGGCAAGACAGCATTACTCCCCAGCCCCTCACTGGGGGAGTCTAGGCAGGGACTCTACTGCTCTGTCACACCTCAGCTTTCTGTTTTGCTGTTTCTTTTGAGGCAGACTCTAAGTTGCCCATGTGGGCTTTGAGTGTGTGTGACCCTCCTGCCTCAGCCTCTTAAGTAAGTGAGAGAACAGACTCAGACCATCAGTCTTAGCTCTAGAGCAGTATTGACTGAGCTCATATAACAATGGCATGAAATACAGCGGTGATCTGCCAACCATGAAGCAAACACTGGCTGGTATACTGAGGAGCTAGAGTACACACACCCTCACCCAGTCTGCACAGCTCTTTATATCCGAGAACCATTAAACTCTAGCCCAGCAAATTTTCTTGAAGCTGTGATTAAATACACTTCACATACCTGAGTATGGTGATGCATGATTTTAATCCCAGCACTCAGGAGACAGTTGGATCTCTGTGAGTTCGAGGCCAACCTGGGCAAATACTGAATTCCAGGCCAGCCAGGGCTACAAAGTGAGGTCTGTATAAAAAAGAAAGAGAAGAAGGGAGGAAGGGAGGGAGGAAGGAAGGGAGGGAGGGAGGGAGGGAGGAAGGGAGGGAGGAAGGAAACACCAAACACTTCCCATAAAATTTCCAAGTTGGCCGTAAGTGTGCAGTTAGCAGCAGTGAATAAATCCATACTCTTGTGTAATCTAAACATCTGTTGGTTTTTGAGACAGGTCCTCAGGCTCAGGCTGGCGACAACTCAGCCTCCTGCGTGCTGGGGTTACAGTGTGAGCCCCAAACATGGAGTGCATTCCATCTTCACACCTTTTCATCTTTTTTTTTTTTTTTTTTTTTTTTGCTTTTGTTGTTAGAGACAGTTGCATCAAATAGCCGAAGCTCTCCTTGAACTCACAGCAATCCTCCTGCCCCTGTCTACCACTCCAGAGAGCTAAGATCACAGGCATGTTACCCCCCACCAAGGCAAGAATTGAGGCTTTTGGAAAACTGAAACAGTCCTCCTCGTTCCTTTCCCTGTAAATTTTGGGCCAGTTTTCCCAACACCGTTTGTTGGAAAGATTGTGGTGAAACTTTTTTACGTCTGACTAGAGTTTTGTGTGTAGACAAGGGAAAGCCATGACTATTTGGGTTTCTGTTAATGATCAATCAGTTTTTAGAGAATTCACTTTCCTTGTCAGCCCTGCATCACCAAGCTTCCACAACTAAAAATAGCAAGCCACGGATTTCACAATTCGTATTTCCCTCAAATATTTGCACATTGTAAGTATAATAAGGGACTTCTGAGTTGGGAATGTGGCTCAGTCCTTGGGGTGCTCAGCTAGAGGACACTGAGGGCCTCAGCATTACCCAAGCTGGGAGTGGGGGCTCCTGCAAGCCAGCAAGTGCTAGGCAAGAGGAGCAGGAATTTGAGACCACGCCCAGCTGTGCAAGCTCAGGGCCAGCCCAGGGGAAGGCCAGGGCATGTGTCTCACGGTGTGCATGCAGAAGTCAGATGCCAACTTGTGGGAGTCCATTCTCTCCTACCATGAGTCCCGATGATCAAATTCAGGTTGCCAGGCTTGGTTGGCAGCAAGCACCTTTTTCCACTGAGCCTTATTGCTAACCCTGTGTATGTTGTAAACTTCTTTGAAAGATGGGTTTGATTATGATTTTATTTACTTATTTATTGATTTTTTTTTTTTTGAGATGGTCTATTTCCATCTGTATCCCTTTGGAACCTGTTCTGGAACTCACTCTGCAGAGCAGGCTGGCCTCAAACTCACAGAGGAGATCTGCCTGCCTCTGCAGCCCAGGCTAGCCTCGCATTCCAGAGCTTGCCTGTGCCCAATTTGCAAATGCTGGCATGAACTACAGGTGTGCATGGAGCTTTGCCTGGTTTCTGTACCAAAGGCTCCACAAATGAAAGATGAAAGATGAGCACTCTAACAACTAACTGCACCCTCAGGCCAAAAGGAGCTGTGGAAAAGCCCCATGTCCCACCTCGTGAGGACAGGGTTTACTGCTGTGAGCTGAGCCGCCCTCACCAGACTTGGAACCTACTACACTTCCAGCTTAGATTCCTGAACCCTCAACTCTGCAAGGTCTGCAGGGCCTGGTGACAGCCTGTCCTGGTCTGGGAGTCACTGGGCAATTAGGAGGAATACACGGATTTGCCTTTTGAATATGTTTTGCTTATTCACATAAACACTCCTTTCAATTCCAGGCTTTGAAGTTCCTATTAGAGCTGCCTTGTGTCTGGTGCATTAACATATCAAAGCCAGCTGCCTGGAGCCTGGGGCAAAAGCATCAGGCATTGGAGGTCAGCCTGGACAACCAAATCAAAACCAAGCAAGCAAGGAAAGAAGGAACCAACCAGCTAGGGCAAGCCATACTCCGTTTGTATTTGTTTCTTACTGCTGCGGTCCTTAATATCGATTTATTCAGTTACACAAATCAAGATGGGACACCCCTGTTCCCTTTTTGTTTCAACCTGGTCTATTTCCATCTCTTGTGCTGCCCCAAATGCTATAGCGAATACTGTGACAGGGCATTGGTGGCACACGCCTGCAATCCCAGCACTCAGGAGGCAGAGGCAGGAGGATCTCTGTGAGTTCAAGGCCAGCCTGGTCTACAGACTGAGTTCCAGGACAAGGGCTATGCAGGGAAATCCTGGTTTTTTTGTTTTGTTTTTTCGAGACAGGGTTTCTTTGTGGTTTTGGAGGCTGTCCTGGAACTAACTCTTGTAGACCAGGCTGGTCTCGAACTCACAGAGATCTGCCTGCCTCTGCCTCCCGAGTGCTGGGACTACAGGCGTATGCCACCACCGCCCAGCGAAACCCTGTCTCGAAAAAAAAAAAAAAAAAAAAAAAAAAAAAAAAAAGTACTGAAGTAAGTCTCCCACATGGGATGTCTGGGACAAAGGCTAAACTAACGTTCAGCATGACGTCAAACTTGCCTCTATGGGATGGTGTCAGTCTAGAGTCTTACCCCCATCCCACGCAGCATTCATTTACACACAGGCTGTTTTCAGACTTTGAAATCTTTGCCTATTTGATATGCTGGTGGCATGGAAGAGTGGTCCTAATATGCATTTTCGCCTATAAATTAGAGTGAATATCTGCTCACAGATGAATCGCCGGGGCTGGGGGTGTAGCTCAGAAGTAGAGCTCTTGAATAGAATACCCACCTCAAGTGAGTGAGGAGCTCAGTAATAGGGGGTTTGTCTTGATTGTTTAAGGTCTTGATTTCCAATTCCAGCAAACACAAAATAAAAACTGAAGGGGCCCTTACCCAGCCCCCTGCTTTAGCAGCGATGGCAGGCTGCAGAAAATACCCAGCAAGACTGAGGCCCCCGACTCAGAAACATGTCCTCACCTGACCTTGCCCGACCTCCTTGTCTCTAGGAAGCCAGATACCCACGTGTGACAAGGAACCAATCAGAAGCTAGCTGGTGGGCTCTGGATATGCTTTTTGGCAACAGTGACGTGCAGAACATAGCAACCATCCTGG